CAGATAAAGAGTAGAAAGCAGGATAGTAGGCTTCTAGTGAGGCAGCACAGAAAGTTCTGTGACTGTTTCTACATGACTGACTTTGAGCTTTAAACTATGCTTTGTCTCTAGCTTAGTTCTGAACTTCACTCACTCATTCTGCATTTATTGCATGTCTGTCATGCTAATCTCTGCCCTCCCATGCTAATGAGGGAGACAGACCTGGATTCATAATATGCTAATACTAGATGGGTATAGTAGACCCAGTGTGCTCAGGTGGAGATACTTGGAGCATAGGGTGCCTGACTCCCGGGTCAGGGGTCTTCCTCTGAGGGGAGACATTGCTTGAAAGGGGTCTGAAGGCCTCACCAGGTGTGTGGATGTGCATGTTGGGAGGAGGGAAGAGACAGATAGTAGACAGAACTGAGGTGGCACAAACAAGATTTGGAATAGTGGCACCTCCCTGGGGTTTCTGCTTATACAATCTGTGCATATTGAAATACTCGAACTTGTAAAATAAACTTTGAATGGTGGCAACTTGCTCTCAGGTGTATGCTTAGGGTTCCATTGACAAGGCACCCCTGTAGCTTATACTGTGCTGGTGTCATTCAACTAGTTATGGTAGGTCTGCGTTGCTTTTGACAGATCATTGTTACAGAATGAGTCCCAGACCCCCAGCTTGGGCCAAGGTCTCCTCCTGCACAAATGTGGGGATCCAGGGGGTGTTTCTGTGCCCACATCTGATTGGGATTGGAAGTTTAAACTCATTGCTGGCTTCTCTTCTAAGTGGCTGCCAGTGGAGCCGACAGCAGGCTGAGCATGGCAGCCATGTGAGGAGTTAGAACCCCTGCCAGCGAACACCAGGCTCACTTCATTTTATGTGGCTGCAGCTGTGACGATTACATGTGTAGATTTTTTAAAATGAGAGGATAGAGAACATGAGGAAGTCATTTCTTTTCTAAAAAGGTAAATATTGAACAGTTTACAGCTCCCTTCCACTTTTCTTGGTTAACTGATACTGAAGGGACAGAATTTTGGAATTTGGGCCTGTTTTCCTTTTTTTTTTTTAGATTCTAGCTTACTTGGGTTAAGATCTTATCCCTACCTCTAGTCGATTTCAACTCATTCTGTTATATACTGATTGTTATTGTAACATAAAAGTTCTCTGTAGCCACAGAAGTTTATTGTTTATAAATCTATAGCAACATTTTTACTTTTTTGATGCTTTGGAATGGAACCTGAGACCTGAGCAAATAAACACTGTGAGACTGAGCTACAGCCCCAGCTCTGCCCCTTGGCAGATGTTTTTGAATTAAGGCATTCCAGTAGGTGTCTGGTCAAAGGTTCTATGTTGACTGCATGATTTTCAAAACTTGACTATCTATTGGATAAAATATGTCAAAGTATGTGTGTGTGTGTTAGTTCTAGGGCTTGAACCCAGGGCCCGAGCACTGTTTCTGAGGTTTTTTTGTTGGTCTGGTCAAAGGTTCTATGTTGACTGCATGATTTTCAAAACTTGACTATCTATTGGATAAAATATGTCAGTGTGTGTGTGTGTGTGTGTGTGTGTGTGTGTGTGTGTGTGTGTTGGTATGTGTGTGTGTGTGTGTGTGTGTGTGTGTGTGTGTGTGTGTGTGTGTGTGTGTGTGTGTGTGTGTGTGTGTGTGTGTGTGTGTTGGTCCTAGGGCTTGAACCCAGGGCCCGAGCACTGTTTCTGAGGTTTTTTTGTTCAAGGGCAGCAGTCTGCCACTTGAGCCATTGTTCTACTTCTGGCTTTTTGATGAGTTAATTGGAGATAAGAGTCTCTTATGTTTTGCCCTGAGCCCCTTCTGTTCTCTCTGCTTCTTGGCCACTACATGCTCCCTGTCATCATGTTCTGTTTCACCATGGCCCAGCAATGATGGAGCTAAGTTCTGAAACCATGAGCACAAATAAACATTTCTTTCTTCAAGTTGATTTTCTCAGGTGTTTTGTCACAGTACTAGAAAGCTGACTAAATACAGAGTTGGTACTAATAATAAATGTAACTGGATTTGATTCTAGCCAGGCTACACCCAGACTTTTGTGTGTCAGCCTGAGCTTCTGCCTGCATCCAACCCAGAGTATTCATAGCATGGCCTCCCTCATTATATCTCCTGATGGCCATACTGCTCAGCCAGGCTGCAGGGCAAGCTGATCACTGAGGTGAGGATGGTGCTTGTGAGACTTCGGTCAGCACATAAGGAGAGCCACTGTTTCTCTTTTTGCCTTGTTATTTGTGGCAGTGTTCAGCTCTTGTTTCTTTCTGTATTTGGATAATTTCACCTCTCTTGTGGGCTCTGTGGTCCTTCTTGGCTAGATTCTTCCTGAACCTGCTGCTTCAGTGGGTTCCCCTCAGGTGGTCAGCTCTGAGTCTCACGAGGAAGCATGGTGGTGTATAACAGTTTCTCAGCCGGAGCCACGTGTGCGTGTGGTTGTAGGTTTTTGTCTTTAATACGTGTATATGATTCTACTGGGGCAGTTTGTCTTCACAATGGTTCAGGTGCCTGTCGACCATAATGAGCCCTCCCCCGCCACCACCTCTACTCATCCTTTGGCCAAACAGAATAAATGTTCAGCCGGTTTGTCTTTATGAGTCGGAAACCCTAGGAGGCAATTATTTCTGTGGTGGCTTATGTGGTTTCCTAGGTACTGTGTCCTGTGGTGACATGATGCCTGTGTATTTTAGAAGGGAGAGGGAGGTAGGAGGAGATTGGGAGACCTTGTCAGGATAGAATGATGTGCTGGGAAGCTTAACAGCCACAAACATCTACTGGCTGAGTCTTGATGAAACAGTTGCCCTCTCCCAGTGGAGTTTAATGTGTGATGTTCTTGCGTGGCAAATTATGATCTTGCTGTGCTGAACTGCTAAAGCGAATATCTTCTGGTGTTTTTAATTCTCCTGTAAAATTATCTTTTAGAAATTGCAAAATGAATTCTTTTTAAGTGGCCCTGGTAGCTTTTGTGATTCTTGGAGTTTCACTCACCTGCAAATCTACTTAATACAAGTTAAGTGTTCTTTGTTAAGCAGACCCTTGGTGCTGACTTCTTAGTAAGGGTGTGGAAACCAAGGACTATCCAGTTATCTGAAACTGATTGATGGCTAAGTTTTAAAGAGCAGTTAGCAAGAATTCAGCTATGTGTGTCAGGAAAATACATACTTTTTTTTTGGAGCTCTGACAATAAGGTAAGAAACCTGAGGGTTTCTTCAAGTCAACATTACTGACATGTGAGACCAGGTAACTTTTTCAGTGGGAGGAGCAGCTGCGCCATGTGTTGTAGGATGCTTAGAGGCATCCCCAAGCTCCTGCAGGATGCCACTCCCTCCACATCTGTAGCAGCCAAGTGTGTCCCTGTGTCAGATTGCCCTGTGCCTGTTGAGAATCACCCCTCTACACCATTGGGATGAACTAAATTTGTAACTAGCATGAAACCTAGAAGAGTAAAAGACTGTGAAAGCCACCTAGAGATACTTCATTTTGCCAGTTGTGTGCAGATAATTTTTAAGGAAGGAAAATGCTAATAAAAGAGAAGAAGAGATTGCCTTTAGAAGTTAAGCATTTTTTAAAAAAATAAAGGATATTAAATTTTTATATGAAAGATTATCACTTACTAAACCCCACTCTTATGTGATAACTATTTCCCAAGACATGGCCATGTACTGCCTCTTCCATTTGCTCTTCTAGAAATTACCAAGAGAGCTTCATTGATCTCATTTCTGTGTTCTCTCACTACCCTGCAGTGCAATCTTAGATCACCAGCTTACGCTTTCTTCTGGATTACAAGTACATTTCAGCTGGCCATTCCATTGTTACTTTTAAGAATTGAGATTTTCAGCCAGTCAAGAGTTGTGCTTTATGGTCTTGCCAGCAGTGCCCTAGGTGGTGGCATTTAGTCTCCTTGCTGCTTCTGTGACAGATACTAGGGAAGGGACCATCCCTCCAGCGGGCTCAGTGTATGGTCTTCCCCTCTCATTTTCTTTCCTGCCCTTCCCTTCCCTTCCCTGCATTAGTCATCGGCAGATAAATGCCTTGCTATGGATGCTGCTGCTTTCCTTCCCTTCCTGTGAGCTTTTTAGCTTGAAGGCATTTATCAGTAGCGATATTCTATTTATACTATCTTTGTGACATTTGGAGTGTGAATTGTACTCATGCTGAACAACATCATCCTTTTCTTCTGAAAGTGAGTGGAGTCTCAGGATGCCAGGGTTCATGTGAGTGCATTCTGGCTAACGGCTGCACCTTCTCCTATCCGAGCTGCTCTGAGACTCAGGGCAGACGTGACTGATGCCTTTTTTGTCAAACATTATGACATCATGCTCCTGAGATACAAATGTTCATCTTATTTTGTATGTAAAGGGATAATATTCCTAATTCTACAGCTTAGACTTTACCTAATGAGCCTACTTTTTTTCTGAGTGGCATAATTTTAGTATGTTGATATTGTTAATGCTCTGTCTCAGTGAAATAATTAGAAAAGGGAATCAGAGACGGTCCTTTTGACCAAGAAATTATCCTTTGCCCAAGATACTGTGTTGTTTTATGTTAATGACTACCATGGAATGGAAATAGTGATAAATACTTCTTAAAATTATACTGTATCACCATTGTGGAGATATGAAGCTAACTAAAATTTTTCTCAGTCTTTTTCTGGAACCAAGTTCATATATCTTAGGAACTAGTGAGAAATTTTTCCTTAGGGTATTCCAGAAGAGGAGCAAGTAGTTTTGATAATGAAATGAGACCTTAACTGGAATATTTCTAGAGAGGCTATAATAACTCACATAAGAATTGACTTGAGAAGACAGGAAAGGAATTGGTTTTCTTTGAATGTCTGTGTTTGGGGTAATGCTGGCAGCAGAAACTTGAGAGACCATCCTTATTTTTCTGTTTCCTCCAGTGTATGATCTAGAACTATGCTATTTTATATATCTTATAACCAAAATAATATTTATATATCTTATAACTAGAGTAACAGGGACATGATTTTTATTTTCATTGTAGGAGGTGGAATAAACTGAGACTGCAAGACAAAGTGAAATGCCTAAAGCTGGATGATGATTCTGAGGAAAGCGATGCTGAATTTGATGAAGGCTTTAAAGTACCGGGTTTTCTGTTCAAAAAGCTCTTTAAGTATGTGCTGTGTATTCTGTCTTTTGTATTTGTCACCAAGTCATGTGTTCAAATTAATGTTTTAGGAATTACACAATAGTTACCTGTGGGCCCTTCAGGTACTTGGAGCAATTTATTGCAAAGACAGACACTGTCAAATGAAATTTTAGCCACATGCTGTTCATTAAAATTAGATGATAATAAATTGACTGAAGTGTGCATTGGGTATGTTTGTAAGCTGATGAATCTATATGGACCTGTCTCAGCAGACTAAAAGCAATACATTTAAAAGCCTCACCATCAAAATATTTTTTTTTGTTCATGGTAATTTTAAAGGACCAAACTTTTAAGTTCTTAAGTCAGATTAATTTAAGAAGTTGAGTTGTATATTAAAATCAATAATGAGAGTTGTTTATTAAAATCAAACCTTGAGGAAGTTTTTTTTCCCTTCTATGTGGATATAAAAAACTATTGAGATTATTTTCTAAGTGTCTTATATCATACCTAAGGGTATAATACTTTTGAGCTGACCAAATGTGTATCTAAATATTTTATGTAGATGTCCATCTCATATCAAAGGAGAGCCCATAGGCAGCAAGCACCTCAAGGATTAAGTCACTGTTGGAAGTTGACTTAAGTTCCACCTGTAAAGCACCGGATGCTGCCTGATAAATGCATGCTTGGTCTATATGGCTGGGCGGGTCTCCCATGATGAATGTAAAGACCCAGGAACATTTTCAGTCTCCTCACTCCTGGGAATTACTTAACAAGATGCTTTAGGAAGGCTTCTTAAATGCCTATAGGAAGTTAAACCATTAAATAGCTTCTTTCTCTTTTGTATCATCAATTTGTAGTCCAGAGCAGGATACAAACTTCTTTCTGTGAGATAATTAAACTTAATGTCCTTTATAGATTCAGCCTTCAACATGCCCTAAACTTGCGGAAGACATTTTAAAAATAGCATGCTCTTATATTTCCTCTCAGGGAACTTAAGAGTGTGTGTGATACGTATATGTACATGAACATATACATTTGTGGTGCTGGGGACAGAACCCAGGGCCTCCTTGTTCATACTAGTCTCGTCTAGTGCTTTACCACTGAGCCACAACCCCAGCTCTATATTAAAGTTTTAATTTCTCTCTATTGGGAGGGGTTGGAGAGGTAGAACGGTTACTTTATCCTGCTAAGCATATAACAACACTTGAGTCCTCACTGTGTAAATTGACTTGGTAGAATAGCTGTAAGTGAACAGAGGAAGAACTGTATAGAAAGCAAAATCCAAAGATCTCTAGTAATTTCTGCAGAGAAGTCATTTCATAGCCTGGAGAGGTGACTGTTTTGTTTATTGCTTCTCCCAAATGAAAATTAACTATGAAAAGGTAAGTAATGACAACATCTATTGGCAACTCTTTTCATTTCCTCTAAAATGATTGCTTATTAAAGAACAATCAAAATAGTATCAGCGTTGTACTAGCAAAACAGAATACCCAAATTATAGATTAAATTGATTTAATAAAGACAGGATACTTCTGCATGTGTAGTAAGTGATTTGGAAATATCCTCAAGAGTCATGTTGAATGTTTATTTTTGTGTAAATGTCAGATCTTCTAGGAAGGAAATTTCAGTTAATAGAACCAAACATCACTTACTAAGAATGTGCTGTAGGAGTCAGTATATTGGCCATTATGTTATAGTTAGTTATATAGTTATGACCTTATTATAGTTCATATAAATACATGCTAGTGTTTTTAATTAGCCTTAATTATACTTTCCTGGAAAGTATTTTGTTTTATCTATATCCATACAAACAAGATTTTAAATATTTTATAAGTATTATAAAACTTCCATTCTGTTTCTCCTATTGTAGGAAAAGAAATTAAGAGGAGGGGTAAAGTCTTCTATTTTTATTTTATGATTAAGTTTTAGCCAGGCCAATTTAACCTTAATCTGTAGACATATATTTTTTACTGTATTTACTGTACTCTGGGGAGTTGAATTAACAAGCATATAGCTATACACTAGGAAGAAGAAAGTAGTTTCCATTAAATGCTATTTTCTGCAGCATCATGTTTAACCTCTAAATTTCTATTTTGAAAATTTGCCTGACAGTTATTTATCTGTTTACTTTAGCAGTCATGTGACAAAACTTGAATCTTTTGACCTTACTTTTGCTCAGCCAGACTAGAAAATGCAGTCTTGAGCTGGGCGCCAGTGGCTCATGCCTGTAATCCTAGCTACTCAGGAGGCTGAGATCTGAGGATTGTGATTCAAAGCCAGCCTGGGCAGGAAAGTCCATGAGACTCTTATCGCCAATAAACCACTAGAAAACTGGAAGTGGCGCTGTGGCTCAAGAGGTAGATTGCTCACCTTGAGCTGAAGAGTGCAGGGACAGCGCCCAAGCCCAGAGTTCAAGCCCCACGACCAACCGGAAAAAAAAGAAAATGCAGTCTTGGGTTACTGTGAGAATGCTAAGACACTTAGACCAATTCTCTGTGGTATTTTCTGATGCTCTTGTCCCATGGCAGAGAAGACTAGCTGTACAGTCATTTATAAGAATCCTTAATGTTTCTAAAGAGCAAATTTAAATGCTTTTGGAAGGTGCTTATTAGGAATGAGAAACAGTGCACCCAAAATTAGTTAGTGGCGTCACTGGAACTCAAGCCCAGACCCCTCCTCACTCAGCACACAGCCCTACTTAGCAGGTGGTGGCTGCTTCTGCATGTGTGCTTGAGTTTTCTTTAGCTGCAGTCTTGAGTAACTTCCTGGGCAGTGGATGGGTAGAGAGTAGCATAGCACCATCTTTATATAATCCCTACCTGTTGATGATGCAGCGGACAGGGCTGCTAACTAGTTCTTTCTCCGTGCACATCTTCCTTTAAACATACCTAGGTTTGGAGATGTGGAAACATCCAGCAGGCACACTGTTACTGCCTCTCTGGGTTCACACAGAATCCAGTATTCCAGCCTCATCCCAGGATCCTTCTAGAATTGCATACTGGCTACTGTTATTTTCATAATTATCCAATCGGAGCTTTCCAGATTTTTCCCATTTTAATTGACTTTGGGCCTCAGAAAGGAAAGGTATTGGCCTCTGTTGGATGGAGGCTGTGAGATGTGGGAATAAGTTGAACTGGGTTGAACACTGGAAGGTTCTGGTCCATGCCCAGGGTTGCTGCTCCCACAGTTCTTTGCATTTTAGTAAGAGGAGGTCAGTTAGAATTGGGAAACGGAGGGCACACAATGTTTTTTAAAGGGCTTTTGTAATTTGTCTCTCTCAAAAACTGAGGTAACCCCAGTTCATGAGCCACCTTTGTTCCAGTTCAGAGTTTTCTCTGCCTTAGCCTGCTTGACATTTGGAGCCATTTGTGGGGACTGTCCTGTGTATTACAGAATACTGAACAGCGCCTCAACCCCTGTCCACTAGTACTTTCCAGTTGTACTTTCCCAATTGTAACAAAAATGTCTTCAGATAGCACCAAATTTGTTCCTCAAGTATCCCCCAAGTTGAGAACTGTTGGTCTAGATTATTTCCCAAGGAAAATCACCTTGGAATCCTACAATTCTGGATTTCAGTCTGGGTTTCTTTAAAAAAAAAAAAAAGAAAAAGAAAAAAAAAGTCGATGTGATCTGTTTCTTAGCCATTCTCAGCATTTAGTTCCTACCTATAAAATGTGTTGACAGTTGTGCAGGTTGGGTGATTGCCTCTCCAGCAATGGGCTCCTCACTTGGCAGCCATTATTTTCTGATGACATATCACACATTAATGGAATTTGTCCTTTTTCCCAAACTAAATGATCTTATATCCTCACTTCATTGGGTTTTGGTTTTTTAATCCTTTTCTCCAAAGTGCATATCCAATGTATCTACTATAATTGGCAAACTTCATAAGCAATAAACGTCAATTTTCTTTATTTTATAGATACTAATGACAACAGCTAGAGTCTTAACTTCTAAAATTGATTTACAAAATTTTGAGGGAAAGTTAATTACGACATATTTATTGAGAAGAAAGTAAATAAAATCAACTCAACATGAACAAAAGTACAAAGTGAGACTTTGTGTGTGCAAGTTGGTACTGAGTCTTGAACTCAAGAGTCTTCCGTTCTTGTTTGACTTTTTCTGCTCAAGAATGGGAACTGAGCCCTATCTACTTGTGGCTTTTTGCTGGTTAATTGGACATAAGAGTCTCTCTAATTTATCTGCCCAGGTTGGCTTCAAACTTCAGATTTCTAGTCTCATCAGTAGCTTGAGGTTGCAGGGGAGCCACCAGTACTCAAAATGAGATTTTTTTTTTTAAGTAGGCATACCATTTACCCAATAGTAAATGTTAAGGCCATATGAGAGCAGCTGTATACCTGTATATATAGTGTATGTATAGCTGTATATATACTGTATATATAGTGAGTAGCTCAGTAGCCTCAGTAGCTTTGCTTTTTGGCTTTGGGTGAAAATAATACATTGGCTTTTATCTTTTTAAGTTAGGTGGTTTTTCCAATTAGGTAGCATTTTCTACAATTCCATGATATTAATTCTTTTACTCCCAGAAAATGCTTTTACATTATTCCTTTTTCTTAAGAAAAACTCCACTTTATGTTTATAGATTGAATTTGCCATTGGTAGAGAAAGGAAAACACCAACTCCTATTTGTTTTGAGAGGAGAAAGTGATATATTGTTTCCTTTTGACCTGTATTCCTTATTTAAAATTTTAACAGCTCTGATCCTTTTGTACCTATGATAAAATCCCTGAATCAATTTCTGCTTTAAAATATTAAAAGACCTTTTGTATTATTGAGTCTTTAAACTATTCTTTTTTGCATCTGCTAGAAATACAACAGAATCATCTGTTATGGACTAATTTTGAGGACAGCTCTATTATTCAGACTTGTTTATGGACTTAAAATTTAATTTAATTTTTCCTATAAAAATGTAATGATTATCAAGTGACTTTACAACAACATAAACGATAAATTGTGGTATTCTCTGTTCTGTTGATGTTACTATTGAAAAAAAATGACCTTTCCTTGTAGAAAAATATATGTTCAGTACATTTATATTCTGGAAATACTTGGGATTCCTTCCCTAAAAATAGAGTAAATAAGAGGTAATAAGTTTATGCTTGTTTACCCAGCTCTTTGTAATGTTGGAAAAGAAATGAAATAGTCCCTAATTACCCCATCTATCAGCTTAATTAGAAATGTGTTAACATTCTGTAAAGAAAAATTTGTGATTTTATGCCTAGGTGATCAAAAATGTATGACCTTATAAATATAATACTCATGTAAAACACACATCCGCATGTTTCTCTGATTGGTACTAGAACCTAGCCAAATGATTAATTCATGAGTACTTTCTGTTATGATGTGTATTACCCACTGCTTGCCATTTTCTTTTTTCTTGTTGGTGTTTGTTGTTGTAGGTACCAGCAGACAGGTGTTAGGTGGCTGTGGGAATTGCACTGCCAGCAGGCAGGAGGAATTCTGGGAGATGAAATGGGATTGGGCAAGACCATCCAGATAATTGCCTTCTTGGCAGGTCTGAGCTACAGCAAGATCAGGACTCGTGGTTCAAATTACAGGCAAGTGCTCCTCTGCAGACTGTCAGTCTGTGGAGCTCAATTAATATTTCATCAGATGTATTGCTGTGGAGGAGGGTCTTGTGAATTATTGATGACATTTCAATTACAATATTCCTTTAATTCTTTTAGTGGAGGACATCAAAGGAAAAATTTTACGAGACAGTGGAGCTGTAGGGCAGGAGAAATTAAACATGTAACACTTTTAATGAATTCCAGGCATTGATGCTTCATTTTGCAGATGAGCCCCACTAGATATTTTGGGTCAATACAATGTCTAAGGTTAGCTCCTGCAAATGGATTGTTTACAAACTCAATTATGTTAATATCAATAGTTTACACAATATGGAATTTTAAAGTAGACATAATACCTTTCATTCCATTTATTAAATTTTACATTAAAATATTTGTTCTGGCAGGCGACCAGGTGAGCATTACAGTAAGTACAAAGTCTATTCATGGGGAAAGTTGAGCTTTGAAGAAGTCATTCCCCCTAATTTCCCTTACAGTCAGTGTGCAGATAGCATTTATAGATAGCTCTTTTTTTGAATGAAGTTATTTATCTGCTCACTCTACTTTGGTTCCCTTCCTGATCTTTACACTACACATACACAGACACACACACACACACACATACACACTGTATATATCAATATATTATATATATAATATATAGAAAAGTATCTTTGCATTTTAGTCTTTATTTTTCTTAGAAATTTAATTTATCATGGCTTTGATATTACAAAATAATGTGCATTTAACAAATCAGTATATAATCTGTTCATTGTAATAGCACAAAATTCTAGATCTTGAAATAAAGAACTGTGAGCATTTCCTTATTTAAGCTATAAATTGGCTTCATGGAAATCTAGATAAAAATATTGAAATTGAATATTGAAGTTGTACTGGAGCAGAAGATTTTTTTCAAATATTACATTTTAGGAAGTGGCACTGTGGCTCAAGTGGTAGAGTGTTAGTCTTCAGCAAAAGCAGCTCAAGGACAGTGCCCAGGCCCTGAGTTCAAGCCCCAGGACTGGGGGAAAAAAATGACCTCCACTCAAATATTACATTTTACCAGGGAATGTGAACATAATCCAGCCTAACGGAAAATTGAGAGTTGAAAAAATAAGCATGTAAGGTCTCTTCCTTTCCTCTTCACTTTTCTTCTCTTCTTGCTTTTTTGCAACTGGAGTCATGTCTCCAATTCTGGCTTATTTTGCTGGTTAATTGGAGAAAAGAAACAAGGATTTGTCCACTGGGCTGGCTTCTCATCATGATCCTCAGATCTCAGTTCCTGACTGACTAGGATTATAGGCATGTCTCACCTGTTAACCTCCTTTAAGTTTTATTACCTAAGATTGTTACTCATGTAACATCTCTTTGGTTAGTTTGGCCACAGGTTAGGCTGCTTTCATAACTGGAATTTTCAAATGGTTTCCAGTACTGTTTCTCTTCAAACAATACCTGTTATCATGAAAATTTGTGTAGAGATTAATACTTTAGGCCTAGGAAACCTAAAGTCATCCCTGCAGGGTAGTTTTGATCTAAAAATTAAAATGTATTCTCTCTGGAATGGTAATGATCCTGCTGGGAGAGACGTTGGGCTAATAATGAGCATCAGCTGTAATCAATTAACTATCAATGCCTATATCCTCTTTTCCATAATGCTGTAGTGTGCCACATTGGTCTTGTGCCCAGATTGTCTTTATTTTTTATTTTTAATATTTCATTTTTATTATTAAGGTGTTGTACAGAGGGTTTACCTTTTCATAAGTCAAGTAATGGGTGCATTTCTTTTTTTTTTTTTTTTTTGACAATGTCACCTCTTTCTTCACTTTCTCCCAGTTTCCCCTAAGGTCATCTTTATTAAAATAGAGTTGGAAAAAAGGGTTTCCCGAAATGTAGCCATATATAAGCCAAACAACAGTACTCTATGAATTGTGAACTGAGGAGCTTGCTTCCCTTCCATTTAACATGCCTACGTAAATAGGGTACCATTTCCCTAAGTTTTGTAACATGTCATCCTCTACCTGGGTGGACTTGGAGTTCTCTATGTTCTGTCCTAAAGAAAATAGTCCTTGAGCTGCCATTGCATCACTGGCTGTGTGTATTTCCTCTGAATCCTCATAGGCTACAGTTGGTGTCCTAATCTGAGATAATCTTGGTGTTACAATGTTAAAGTCTTGAGCACTGGAAGGAACTCTGCAAGTCTTTGGATAACTTCATTGCAAATAAGTTTGGTTATTGTTATTTAGATTAGTGCTTGTTATATGTCTGTTGGTTTTTAGAAGATTGAAAAACACATGGTTAATAAAAATGTACATCTACTGTTATATTCCTGGTTCATAATGGATATGAACACAGTGTCTTTTCCCTTTGTCATTCTTTTTATTTTTATTTTTTTTTGTGGCAGGGGCTATGGGTTCTGGGATATGAACTGGGCCTTGTACTCTTGCTTAGTTTTTTCACTCATGGCTGGCTCTCTGCCACTTGAGGCATGTATCCACTTCTTGCTTTTTGCTGATTCTTGGATTTGTCTGCCTGAGCTGCCTTTTAACTGGGGTCCTCAGATCTCAGCTTCCTGAGCAGCTCGTATTATAGTCATAAGCCACTGGTGTTGATTTTTTTGTGTTCTTTTATGATGGGTATCCTGAATTTTATAATGGAAAGGAGGTAAATTATTTATCTTTCAAATTTCAATGACTAGTCTAGTGTCTTAGTTATTATTTATTTTATACTGAAGAGTAAGTATCCTAAAAAGTTAATAAAATTTCAAGGGTAAATATACATTGTAATTTCTACTAAATTCTAGGTTAAAACTAGCAGGTTTCCACCTTGTAGGTTAAGCTATTTGACTGCGAAGCTATTGACATGTGCTAAATTCATTATGTAATCAATTTTGAGCAAAGATGAAAGGAGCTGTAGTCTGTTTGGTGGTTGATCTTAATCACTCTGGTACATTTAGCCATTTCTTTTGCTCAGCTCACTGGTACTGGGTTGGAAACGGGTAATTCAGTTGACAAGAATGTTAGTGGTTTGATTGCCCCTTCTGTGGAACAGGAAGGAACAGGCTCTGAGCATGAATACCTTGTCACTCTTCTACTAGAGGGAGAATGGCAGAAATTAAAGGGCATAATACTGCCAGATAGATGTTCATCCAGAAGAAAATAGTAGCATTAAATGACAGTGTGCTACCAAATGTTGTGGTTTGTATATTATAAAAGAAAAACTGCTGTACAGCCTATAAAGGCATATGTATGGATTAATGCTTATGTGATGTGAGCTTGTTTTAAATATTTTACACAGCTTTTGATTGGTTGGTCCCTAATCCCTGCTAAGTGCATATTGATGATAACTCTCTTTTATTCCCCTTGGAAGATATAAAGAAGCTGGTGCATTTAATCCTTTTAAAAAGGATTGCCATCGTGGAAGGGGCCAGGGGCCAGGGCAGAGTCTGCTCTCCCCAGAGAGCTTCAGGGACACCTGTCTGGGCCCTGCCTTTGGTAACAACATGGCTTGGAAATTTTGTAGGAAGTGTTGAGTCTGTTGTGGCCTCTGACTGCTGGTCCAGCCCTTGTTTCCCAGCCAAAGGCATTGACTGTGTAACAGAAGTCAGGGGGACTCATGAGTGACAGAGACATTTCATGGCTTAAACATCCTTTTAGGTAGGGCTTGACCAAAACTCACTTTTAGGCAGAACAACTATTTTTATTTTTGTACATTTTGAGTTTTAGCATTTCAAGCACTATGAGGTTTACTTTGAGTCATTTATAAACATTGTTTTAAGCTTAGGAATCATTTAGCAAAAAGAAAAAAAAAAGTTTAGGAATCACTTACCAAAAAAAAAAAAAAGTGAAGATTACATATGATCCCCCAACTCAAAAAATACTCTTTCATGTGTGGATGTATTTTTCATCAACTTAAAAAGATGTTTTTGATAGTCACTAGTTGCTGTCTGTAATCTTAGCTACTCAGGTGGTTAAGACCTGAGGATCAGGGTTCAAAGCCAGCCCAGGCAGGAAAAGTCTGTAAGACTCTTATCTCCAATTAGCTACCCCAAACCTGAAGTAGAGCTGTGGCTCGAATGGTAGAGTACTAGCTTCAAACAACATTTACAGTGCCCAGGCTCTGGATTCAAGCCCCAGGACGAGTACCAAAAAATGTTTTCATGTTCATTCCTTACCTGCTGTGGGTTGTGTCGTGAGATCATTCCAAGAAGAGAATGTCCCTGCTTTTTTCTTCCATTGCCTAGGAAGAAGGCACATTGCACAGGGACAGTATGTGTGGAGTCATACCTTAGGAAGAGTTGGCAGCTTGTCTGGAAACAAAGGAACCGGGAAGGCTCTAGCAAAGAAGCTGGGGTAAAGGATGAGTAGAAGGTAGCTGGGAGAGAGAAAAAGGAAAGAAGGAGCAAGCAAAGGTTGAGAAGCCAGAATGTGCACCCTGTGCAGCTCAGGCTGGTGGAGTACTGACTGGCTCCTGTGGCAGGGGTAGGCTGGTGGCAGTAGATAGATAGAAGAGATGAGTTGGGTGAGCAGAGGCCATATCCTCGTGGTTTTATAGGCCAGACCAAGGGGTATAGGCTGTCCCAAGAACAGTGGACAGCTGTTGGAGGCCTTGATGTGAGGGGATGAGACATTCATATTTTACTTTCAGAATTACGCGAGATGCTGCCATAACCTAGATGAGTGGTGCTTGTGACTAGAGCTGGAAAGGGAGAATGATTTAGGAGGTGGAAGTGACACAAAACTTGATGCAGGTGGCTCATGGTCAAGATGGGGGCTAATCAAGGAATGCAGCCTGGATGTTGAATTTGGGCCCCTGGAAAAGAGGTGACAGTTCTGTGTGTTGATTCGAGAGGGTGGGTGGGAGGGGTTGCTGTGGGGATGTCTCCATGTGCAGTTATCCAGGAGGGCAGTTTGGAGCTTAGAAAAGACATCTGGCTGGAGCCAGGTTAGCATCCCTGGTGGTATGGAGAGTTGAAACAGTGGGGATTAGTGAAATTGTGGGAAGTGTGAACTGTGGAGTGATTGTGTGCTTTTTGTTTCATTGTTGGTGACTGTGCTCCCAGTAAGGGAGGCAAGGCAGGCCAGGTGGCCATGGACCTCTGACAGTCACCTTCTGCAGCATTGAATGCTTGTATATTGAGTGTGGTGTCACTCTCATGGCTGCAGTTTGTTTAACTTATATTTTACCCTTTTTTTTTTTTTCCTGGAGTGAACTCAGGGCCTTGTTTTTCTAGGCAGGTGCTCCATCACTTAAGCCATACCTCTACCCCTTTTTTTGCTATAGCTATTTTTTGGCTAGGATCTTAAGTTTTTACTTGGAGATGGTATTAGACCACAGTCTCTTATCTCTGTCTTCCTTGTAGCTTACATGATAGGCCTCAGCCCAGCCTGGCCAGCACCTGGCCCCTAGCCCTAGAGGGACCACGGGAGAAAATGAGGAAGGAGGGAGGCTTGTTTTCTCCAGTGTAAGTTCTTCCTAGATTAGTCGGTCCTACCAGGTCAATGTTGGTGGATTAGGAGGGGTTATAATGGCATACTCTGCACTGAGTCTTTAGAGGAATGGGAGTCCTTCATCAAGGCTATACCAGTGGTCAGGGCCCCATAAGGAGGTGGGAGGGGAGAGCCAAGCCTGCTGCACATGGCTTCTGTGAGGAAGTAGAGAGAGGGTCACACCACAGTGACCTCCACCCGGCTCTTGGCTACCTAAGTGTCAAGGATGGGAATGATTCCATAAATAATTTTACTTTTATTATTGGTAGCATTATCTTGGACTATTAAGTATTCCTCAAGACTATTCAATAAACTCTGACAGTATTTACTATAGGACAACATTCTGAGTACTTGCTGATGTTCACTTCTTGATCTACTTGGTACCTATGCTCAGCACTGTCATTACTCCCATTTGAACATGAGAGACTGAGGCTTGGAGAGGTTTAGTAGTGTGTTGACATCATGCAGTTAGTGCATGCAGAGCTGGGGCTGTGACCCAGGCAGTACTCCTGACCATGAGCCTGTGCTGGGCTAGTGACATGATTTGCTCAGCCCTTCCCTTGTCCCTGAACTGAACATTCAGGTCGTATCCACCATTTCCATAAGCAGTAGTACAGTGCTCATCCTGGCATGTTGGGATGGCTGGGTCAGTGTGACTGCCAGCAAGGTGAAGCCAGTGTGGTCCACTCCAGCAGTGTAGCATCCCAGGGAGAATGCTACTGGTGTGAATGTCACCATGGGTACCCCAGCCTTCTGAGACCCTAAACTATCTCTGCCCTGCTTACTTCCCAGCATGGTGAAATACACTGAAGCTCTGTGGGCTGAAAACTCAGAGTGTGAAGCTTCAGAGATACCGAGATGCTGCTGTATTCCTTTAGCTAAGTTAGGGTAGATTGTGTAGGAACATGACTAATTTTAAATAGTACAAGAGGGGCTGGTAAGGTAGCTCAGGGGTAGTGTGCTTGCCTCGCATGCACAAGGCCTTGGGTTCGATTCCTCAGCACCACATAAGCAGAAAAAGCCAGAAGTAGTGCTGTGGCTCAAGTGGTAGAGTGCTCACCTTGAGCTGAAGAGCTGAGGGACAACGCCCAGGCCCCAAGTTCAAGCCCCATGACTGACAAAAAACAAACAAACAAAACAATAAAGTGTTTTTGTTAGATTTGTTAGATTTTCCTTTATTATAGGTGGTAACTTTTATGGATTGGTGTTTTCTCTTAACTCCTGCCTTCACAAATTGATGACTGGAATCATGTAGATTTTACTTACTATGGATTACCTCAGTATCCTTTTAATTTTTGGCTGTAGGAAGGATTGAACTCAAGGCCTGAGCTTGCCACTTGAACCATGTCCCTAGTCTTTTTACTTCTACTTTGTTGTGCAGATGAAGTCTCATACTTTTGCTTAAGCCAGTCTCAGACTATGATCCTCCTTTTGTGAGTAGGTGGAGTTCTAGGTATAAACAACCACACTCAGCTTGTTTTTACAATAGGGTCTTGCTACCTTTTTGCCTGCATTGTCTTCAAACCATCATCTTCCTACCTTTACTTCCCTATTACCTGAGATTACAGACATATGCCACCATGCCCAGCCCTTTGATGTTTTTATTCTTTAAAGAAAATACCAGTAAACTTCTGTAGCTTGGATTTTCTTTTTTGAGCTACTAAAAATTTTTGTTTTAGGCAGTTGGTTATTCTTTGCTGTCTTTCATGGTTATGTCTTGAACCTTTGGGTGCAGGTTCGAGGGGTTGGGCCCCACCGTAATTGTCTGTCCAACAACAGTGATGCATCAATGGGTGAAAGAATTCCACACGTGGTGGCCTCCATTCAGAGTGGCAATTCTGCATGAAACCGGCTCCTACACTTACAAAAAGGTAATGTTACAGTACTTGAATATTCCTCATTCATTTTGTATGAAAGCCCTCCATTTTAAATATAGTTTTTCCTTTGAGCCATGTATTTCTCCTGTCTGTGTTCCTGTTCCCTTTAGTCATTTAAAATTATACACTTAGAATTACTGACATAATTTCTGTATTTTCAAATAAATTAAGGCATGTTTGTTGTCTGGCATAGCACAGCTGGACATGAGGAGTAATCTGATTGTGTGGAGGGGATCATAAGTCACATGGCTTACATAACAGTTAACTGAAAGTTTTAGGAAAGTTGATGGTTTACAATTTTAGGAATGTTGATACAAAGTAATAGCAAGATTAACATCTCTAATCCCACATCTGAAATACTCAGTTTTCTTTTTTCCCTTCTCTTCTGTCTTGCCATCCTGATTGTGACTATGTGCATAAGTTCATTTTGCATCCCAAGGGTGTAGGCATTTGCTGAATAAATAAAAGTCATGGTTTTACTATAGGTTTTCAGGTTATGTTACTGACAAGAATTGGCAGCTTGTCACTTAGTCTTTTACACTCCTGAGTGTCCCTGCACCCCAGAAAAGCAGTGCTATCTGTAAGGGCCTCAGAAGTCTCACCTCACTTAGAGAAATACTCAGAAGGTTCTCATTTCCAATGTCTGTACCATGGCCCACACTGCTTCCTTTCTTCCACATTCCATGTACTCATTGTCTTGTGTGAGCAAAAATTTATGGTACAAGTGGATCAAGAATATCTATTATTTGGTAACCCAAATAAGCGGAGGTGTCTTGCTTATACTAGGTTTTAAGGTTAAAAAACAATGGAACTTGCATAGGATTATAAAGGATAAATGGAAAGCAAACTGAGTTGAGATAATCAATGAGCTAGAGTTAAGTGCTGTGATTTTTTTTTTTTAGAAAGTGATTTTACATTGAGAAATAGGTGGTTTTTCTGCCCAGATTAAATCCTTGCAAGTGTCCTGACTTGACTGTATAAAACCCTTCTGTCTTGTTTTTTTTTTATTGCCATTGTTTGTTGGTATTCTGTAGATTTCAAATGATCACACAATTTCTTAATAGTGTACATATTTTCTTCTTCCTCAAATTGCCTTTTACCTTCCCACTTCTCTCCCCATTTGCCCAGTTATTTTTGTTAATAGTTTCTTTAATAGGCAGCATAATTGGGAGTTGTAAAATGTATACCTAGTAACTAAAAAAAAAAAAAAAAAAAAGATGTATGGAATAGTTTCAGCCAAATGATTAACTCTTATAAAAGTTTTTAGGCTTCTGAAACTCCTGTGATTTTTTTAGGTGAAATCTCATTTAATAGGGGGGTCTAAGGTTTTCTTTTTCTCATATAATTTGTCATCTTTTTACTAGCATGGAAAAACTTCTATGTGAGTTGATTAATATTTGTTAGATAACATGATATTTTAGGTACTTGATATTCTTAGGACTCTTAAAACATGGATATGATGTTTATAATCTTGAAGTGCCAACTTTTACCTTCAGGGACAGAAAGTATGTATCAAAACTCAATGGAAAAGGGCAGTTGTGTAACACTTGGTAACAGTGGGTAGTGGCATCAAAGTGTGTGTTGTCAAGTTTCTTAGTGATTAAGTTTTTTCTTCCAATTAGTTAGGAAATGTGTAATGGTAAACTGCTTGTGTTCTGAAGTGTTTGTGACTTTATCTCTGCCATCTTTTTCTACTGTGTAGAATCAATTCTGCAGAATAGTTTAGCTAACTCAAAGCATTTTGTCTCATTCAGTTCCTGTCATTCAATGGTATAGGAGTGGGGAAAGCAGCCCTTGCCTACAGTTTTAAAAGCACAGGTTTTGTAGTCACCACCTAGAGTTGGAGCCTCAGATTTGACATTTTATAATTTTGGGACCTTGGATAAGTCTGGGCTTCTCTTTGCCTGGTTTGATGACCTGACAATGGGAATTTAAAAGTAATTTGGGGAATGTTCATTGGATTAATGTGTGTGCTGAAGAGTTTTGTTGTAACAGTAACATGGGCATTTAAAGGTTATAGCACTATTTCTTGTCTTGTTAGGAGCAAAGCATATCACAGGCCTAGATGCTGAATGAGACATTGTAGATTGATTCGGTATACATTCTGGTTATCAGTAATGCTCATGACCACATGAAATTGCCATTGTGTATTCTTCAAAATGCCCACTTTCTGAATTGCTAGGGCCAAAAGACTTGGCTTTTTAAAGGGATGGAGTCAAGTAAAAAATGGAAAGAGGGTCTAAATATTGGAGAGCTGTTCCAAGTACACAGTTGTAACACGTGAAGTGTTTTATTTCCTGCTAGCTTTAAAGTTAGTGTATACTTGATAGAAGAAATGATAGATGCCCGGCTTATTCTCGGAGCTATATTGTAAAATTATGTTGCTGGAGCCCCCCTTTTTTTCTTCATTGTCAGCACAAATCCTTGTTTATTAAAGATTTAGCTTGAAGGAAATTTTAATTAATTACAGGTGCAGTAAGTCCTGCCTGGGAAGCTGCCGTGCTGTGTTTACAGTGAATGGCCTTCATGTGCCTGTGCTTCCCCGCTCTCCCCGCTGCCTGACAGTGTGATTTATGGCTGTTGTTTTCTACCAGTCCACTGTTTGCCCTCTAGGAGGGATTGGTCTCCTGAGCCTCCATAATAACAGCAGCACTTCCACAGACATCTTTTAATGACAACAGCATTGCATTCAGTAAGTCAGGCTAATTGCAGATGTACCCTATTAATTGCAAAAACTAGGAGAGGTTACATATTTTACAAGCTTTTAATTTGAAACCGCCCGAGATGATTTGTCTTAAGTGTTTGGATAGAGACGTCCATAATATTCAACATTTCACCATTATTGCAACTCTAGCCCAGTCAGTTATAGAATCGGAGATTGAATCAGATAAAAAGTCTTAGCTGTGTCTTTACCCTATGGCAAAATAGAGATTATATTTTCAGTAGGGACATTTTAAAACAAGTTTGTTTTTTGGCATATTCTTTCTATAAAAGCAACTTAATTCTTATTAACTGAAATACACCTTTCTGAATATAGTAGGAGTTTTGAATCTATGTCTAACACTGTAAATTAAATAACTTTAATTCTTTCACAATTAAAAGAAGCTACACATTGCTTCAGTGGCATATATTCTGGCATCTTATTTGTTCAACTGTGGTAAAGCTTCAGGCTCCACCAAGTGATGTCCAGTACTGGTCAGGGTTGTGCCTCTTAGAGGCTCATGGGATGGCCATGGTGGAATCTGCATCCAGCAGATGGGAGTCCTGAGATTCATGAGCAGTGGGCCAACACTTGCAGGATTTGTGTGCACGGGGAATGTTCTAGAAATGTGAATGGTAATTTTGCTTCTGCTGTGTTTTAAGCTCTAGACAGCTGTAGTTGTTTTTCTGAGCCTACACAGCTGTGTGTGCAGTGGCCTCGGCCATGGAGCATTCCCATGGCTCAGTTTGCTGCTGCCTTGTGCCCCACCTTCTGTCATGGCTTCTGGCAACTCCTGCCCTCCTGCTGGGAAAGCCAGCCATAGGGCACTGATTGCCCAGAATCAAGGTGGGAAATTGAAAGGGTTTTTTGTTTGTTTGTTTGTTTGTTTTTTGGTACTGGGGAACAAACACTGGACTTGATGCTTGAGCTAGCTTCCAGCCCATGATAGGAACTGTAGGTGTGGGAAAAGTGTGGAATCAGCTGTGGTGTGTCTCACAGTTGTGGCACACCTGAGAGAAGCTGGGGTGTGGAAGATGCCTCTTTCAGCAGTACTCTGCTCCTCCAGCAGCTCTGGACATAGCAGTATAGTTGGGGGAGTGGGGTCTCTTGGTGTGTTTGAAAGGCTGAGGACCCCAAGGTATTGACTGGTACATTGTACTCAAGTTAGAGCTAAGAGGTAGGGAAAGCTAGGTAGCCTTCAATTTGATAGTAAGTGGGAAGGTGGCAAAAGAGTAGTTAGTAAGTACTAAGCATTGTAGTGAGTCTATAAAGTAGTTTTATGTAAAAATGTAGTGGGACACCTGACAATTTCCCCTTTTATTTTCCTCTCCAAAATTTTCTCAGCTAGGCGTTGGTAGCTCATTCTGATAATTCTTTCTACTTAGGAGGTGAATATTGGGAGGACTGTGTGTCGAGGCCAGTGGGGCAAAAAGTTTATAGCTGGGTGTGGCAACGCATACCTGTCATCACAATTAAATTGGAAGCTGAGATCAGGAGGATCACAGTTCTCTGCTAGCAGGGGACTGGGGAGTTTGAGAGACGCTCAACAGAAAAAAAACGTGGTGTGTTGGTGCATCCCTGTCATCCCGGGTACGCTGGGTGTGTAAATAGGATGGCAATCCAGACTGGCCCAGCCAAATAGTAAGAATGGATCCTAAAAATAACAGTAGCAAGAAGGGGAGAGGGATATGTGGCTCAAGGGCAGAGCATCAGCCTAGAAAGCACAGAGCCCTGTGTTCAAACCCAAGTATTGAAAAAAAAAATCTCATCCCTCTTTGTATTCTCTTATACTATGTCGAATATATATATTTAGAATGTGTATGTGTACATGTGTGTATATATATATATATATATATTCAGTTTTGAGACAAGGTCTTTTGTCTTGCTGACCATGAACTAAAAATCTTCCTGCCTCACCCTTCCAGAAGCCTGGCTTTAAAAAGTACTTTAATCCTAGTTCTTTAAGATGATATTAATCAAATCATTTTTGAAGATTTTAATTTCTGTACAGTTACATCAGGTGGTTGTGATTATATAATGTTAGTAGGCTTTCTCATATTTAACTGTTCTTATATTCCTATGGTAGGCCTTAGATTTACATAGTGCTAAGTATTATCTATATAGTAACATATTGCTATGTATTATCTATATAGTAATGACTCCTTAAGGTAATGGTTCTAGTTCGGAAGTTACATGCTCCTCTGTGAGCTGTGAAAACCCAGTTTTGCTCCCCTTACAACAGTGATCTGGAACTCTTTCTTCCATGTATGGGGAGTTTAACTAGGTCTATTTCTGTGGTGTCATGAAATCCTTGGGGTTTAGTAGCTGTGAAGCATTAAGAGTGTAGCATCTAAGTTCTTCATGATTGTCTTTTTCACGTGTCATTTTTCTTGGGACACATGCATATGCTAGTACTAAGACTTGAATTAAGAGCCTGGGTGCAGTCACTTAGACTTTTTCACTCAAGGCTAGTGCCCTACTGCTTGAGCTACAGCTCCATTTTTGTTTTGTTTTTTTTTGGTGGTGAACTGGAGATCAGTCTCAAAGACTTTCATGCCTGGTCTGGCTTTGAACCACAATCCCCAAATGGAAGCTTCCTGAGTAGCTAGGATTACAGGTGTGAACCACCTGTGCCTGGCTGGTAATTTCTTTGTCTAATTATATTGTATTCTGTGAAAATTTTCACATTTTCAGTCACATAGGGTTAGTTAGTGGTTTTGTATTCTCTCCATCAGTGAGGAGGTATATAAAGCTAACTTAGTCTTAGGATTTTTTTTTAGAGTTTTTTAAAGAATAATCATTTGCTTTTTTAAAGTTATTTATTTGCTTACTCATTTGCTGAATGAATCCTACCAATTGTCTTCTTTGTGATTCATTAATTTTTGTGTTTGTCTTATTAACTCTGTCATTTTCTTTTTTTAGCCTGTTAACTATATCTTTATCTGAGCTTTTCTGAGTGGTTCTTTGTCAGAATGAGTCTGCTTTTGTACAGCCGAAGGCTCTGTAGGTAGCTGTGGAAAAGAGCTAACACTGATACTTCAGTCCCTTCTATCCTACTTGTTTAATTTTTTAAATTTTGTTGTCTGTTCCACCCCTACCCCCACCCCCCATATGAGACTGGAACTCAAAGTCAGTATCTTATACCTTTGCTCATTGGCAGGTTCCCTACCACTGAGCCATGATGCAACCCTAACTTGGTTGACTTTACTTTTTCTTTGTGAACGAGGCATTGGCCGTGTCTCCAGGTATTCTTAGTCCAGACAGCTCCTAGAGCTGTGCTGTGTGTTTGTTACAGTATAGGTAAAGGCTGTGGCATACTAATACCTTTCCTTCAAAATACAAAGTATCACTCTTCCTATCCATTTTTGTTTTTCTGATACTTATTGCCAGCTTATTCTGCTCTTTGTTATAAAGCATTTCCTAGATGTGTGTCTTTGATAAGTCCTCTGGTTCACCTCTGTGCCAGTGTGGTTTGGGTCTTTTTAAACTCAGATCTAGATTTTTACCTTCTTTATCTGGTAGGCAGCGTTTTCTCTTGCAGTGTCATGTGTCTGATGTGTGTCTGATGTCTAAAGTGTGCAGCTTTATTTTCACTTTATCATGTTTTATGGAGCTTGCATTTTCCTTTTCCTCTATCAGAATGTGATAGCTGCCTTTCTTTTCTGCGTCTCCACAGAAGTAGCAGCTATTAATCAGTAACTCAACCAGGCTTTAGTTTTACAAATGTATTGTAACACATTTGCTCTCACCATTCAAGATCCAACAGTACTTAATTTCCTAATATCCTCTGATTTTACTCCCAAATTCTATTAAGCCAGATAGTCATTATAGATAGTAACACTTGAAAATATATCTCCTTTATATACTTCAGACACTTTCCTAACAATTTTACTTCTACTTAAAAGTGTTTAGTGTTTAACTTCATTACCATGTGTTAGTGGTTAAGAAAATGGTGTGTCCATCACACATACTTGTCCCTTTTCAAGGTTTTCTTTTGTAATATAGTAAGAGGCAGTACAGCCTGTGCTTCAGAGTTTCAGCTTTGCCCTGGGCTTATCCTACTTGGGAAATCCCCCCTTGACCTCTCACCAGCTACATAGCTTGGTATATCTGTTACCAAGTCCAGGCCATCATCTCCATGTGTAAAATAGGGGTCAGTGGCGGTCATGCTGTCCTTGGTGTAAATTTTGCTGTTAGCATCCTGTCTGTGATGAGTGCCTGAATCTCCTGCAGAATCCCCATCTGCACTGGGTGCACTGTAGCCAGCTCCAGCAGATTATTTCAGAACCTTTGCCTGTCTGAAGCCTGTTTGTCAAGCCCAGAAGCTAGCTCTGCAACCATACATTTCTTAAGTGCTTTAGATTCTCATGATTGAAATAGTGTCCTTTTAGGGCTGGGAAGGTGGCTCAGTGGTAGAGCGCTTGCCTTGCATGCATGAGGCCCTGGGTTCGATTCCTCAGCACCACATATGCAAAAGGAGAAAAGCTGGAAGTGGTGCTGTGGCTCAAAGTGGTAGAGCGCTAGCCTTGAGCTAAAGAGCTGAGGGACAGTGCCCAGGCCCAGAGTTCAGGCCCCACGACCGGAACAAAAAAAAAAAAAAAAAGAAATAGTGTCCTTTTAAATCATGCTTACTTATTTAAAATTGACTTTACTATTTTCTTGTGCTTTTAGGAGAAGCTAGTTCGAGATATTGCTCATTGCCATGGAATTTTGATCACTTCTTACTCCTACATTCGACTAATGCAAGATGCCATTAGCAGGTATGACTGGCACTATGTGATCTTAGATGAAGGACACAAAATTCGAAACCCAAATGCTGCTGTCACCCTCGCTTGCAAACAGGTATGACTTCTGGTAACTGGGTCATTTTCAGGTGTATAATAGTGTTTAATTTAGAACCAGTTATCTGCTTTTTGTAGCACACTTACTGTGTCTTATTTCTTTATGCTTACCTTTAATCCTATTTAAAAAATTTTGACTGTTCAAATTACTTAATGTCTCCTGTAAGAGTAAGTTGCAAGAATGTAATCAATCTACCTCTAATCCCTAATAGAATAGTAATAAAAAAAAGTTCTCCAGGTTTCCATCAAGATGTATCTAAAGAATTATAATTACATAAAGTGTATGTGTTTTACAGTGGGCCAAAATGCTATGAGAGCTGAAATAACAAGTAAATGTGTTAGATAACAGTACCATGGGCGAGTGTCTGAGGGTCATCTGTTAAAAGGTGAATTGAATTAAAAGATGTTTTATTTTCTAAAATAGTTCCGTACACCCCATCGGATCATTCTGTCTGGCTCACCAATGCAGAATAACCTCCGAGAGCTATGGTCGCTCTTTGACTTTGTCTTCCCTGGCAAGTTGGGCACACTACCTGTGTTCATGGAACAGTTCTCTGTTCCCATCACAATGGGAGGATATTCCAATGCTTCTCCTGTCCAGGTAATTTGGTCACTGGTAATGCTGTTACTGGTAATGCCTTGGTATGTCAGTATTTAGAATGTTCCCACTGAACATTATCCTCATTCAGCGTATAAATAAAATGGCCAGAATATTACATTACAGTTTCATAAAAGTCAAGAAATTATTTCTGCTTGTTAGATCATATTTTTCCGTATTTTTAAAGTGATTTTCTCTTTTTTAAAAATACTACGTGCTGGGCACCGGTGGCTCACACCTGTAATCCTAGCTACTTAGGAGGCTGAGATCTGAGGTTCACGATTCAAAGCCAACCCAGGCAAGAAAGTCCATGAGACTCTTATCTCCAATAAACCACTCAAAAAACTGGAAGTGGGCAGTGGCTCCAGTGGTAGATGCTAGCCTTGAGCTGAAGAGCTGAGGGATAGCGCCCAGGCCCAGAGTTCAAGCCCATGACTGAAAAAAAAAAAAAATACTATGCAAAATATTTATTTGGTGGGAATCCCTAAAATGAAACCCTTTGCATGACAGAACTGAAACAGTTTTAGTTGGGATATTTCTCTCAGGCAAGAGATTTTTTAAAAAATGATATCATGTGCTAACAGGAACAGTAAGGTCTCATGGAAAAGAACACATCTATTCTGGATAGCATATAATTTTTTTTAATTTGAGTTTTTATTTTTTTTAATTTTTTTAGTAGTACAAAAGGGCTTGACTTGAACATGTCAGTTTATGAGTACACTGTTGGACAACATGTAATTTAGTACCAATTGAGCAGTGAATCTTTTTGTTTTTTTAACTTTTTTTTTTGTCTTTTCTTTTTTGGTACTGGGGATCAAACCCAGGACATTGCACTTGCTAGGCAAGTATTTTGCCACTGAGCTACATCCCAGTCCATGTGCAACTTTTTAAAAATCACATTATAACAACACATAATTTAAACTCATGAATGCTTATTTCTATAACTTTCCATTTAATCCTTTAGACTGCAGTTGACCCTCAGTACTAAAACTACAAAAAGCAAAACTAGGTAAGGGAAGACCACTGTACTTAGGTTTTTCCTTATCTAGACAGAAGGGTCTTGAGAGTAGGGCATTCTTCTTATTTGCTTCCTTATGTTTAAGCTATATAGGCCCTATGCTATTGAATCCCAGATCATTATTGTGTCAGTCTATAGCAAACATGATGGGAGGCAACTGGCAGGTAGAGGCTTTTCTTGAAGCATAGCCCAGTGGGAGGGGGCAAGAAAGTGGGAAACTGGTGAATGGCTTCAGAATAGAGTAACAAGGACTGTAACCAGGGGAGGTATTCACAACAGAACTTGTGGGCTCATGAAAGGCCTCATGATCTGATATCTAAGCCAGAGCTGATGGGCTGAGGAGGATGAAGGTAGAGAAGCACAGCCTACAGTAATGGCTCTGATTTCAGAACTTTTGAAAAGAACCATACAGGAAGATTTCTTAATCCTCCTCAATATTGAGATTCTTCCTGTGTTTTGATGGCTTGGATGTAGTCACTCTTCTCTGACAGGCAGAGCTGGTGTATGACCACCTCTACTTTGGGAGTAGGAAGAAGCATGGGTGCTCACAGCCAGGAATCTGGGTTCCACAGCACCAGGGAAGGAATTGGGAGTGAGTAAGAGAAATACAATTGGTTTCCTGCCTAATGCTTGAACTAACAGAGACAAGACCTGGGAGCCAGACAGGAATCAAATATAAGGACATCTTGGGGTCCACACTGAAAGGAGCAGGAGCTGGGAGATGGCCACTCCCCAGGCCTGGCTCTGGTTTAGTTTACCATTGTCCTTAGCCAGCAGCATACAGGTGTGGGCAGAGTTGGGGGTAGGGGATGGAAACACGAAAAGTATTGTTTAATTGTGAAATGTAATTGTCTCTGCATCACCAGTTGTATGTACTTCATCACCATCTTAAAGGAAATTTTTATCAATGTCCAAATAAGACATTTAAGGGGCCATATAATGTAATAGAAAGTTGTTTTTTGTTTGTTTGTTTTTGTCAGTAGTGGTTCTTGAACTCTGGGCCTGGGTGCTGTCCCTCCTCTCTTCAGCTCAAGGCACATGCTTTACCACTTGAGCCACAGGGCCACTTCTGATTTTCTGAGTGATTTATTGGAGATAATAGTCTCATGGACTTTCCTGCCTGGGCTGGCTTTGAACCGGGATCCTCAGATCTTAGCCTCCTGAGTAGCTAGGATTACAGGCGTGAGCCACTGGTGCCCAGCTAGAAAGTTGTTGTTTTTATGTCATCCCAGCTGTTTATACTAGCTTATCATACATCTGCACACACAGCTTCAGATACAGGTATTAGATTTGAAGGATGTTTTTGTTTTTATAGACAGGATCTCAATATATAACCCAATCTAGCCTGAAACTCTTGATTGTAGGTTCTTTTATAATGTTCTTTTTACATGCTAGTGTTTTTTTTTTTTTTTTTTTTCTGATGGTACTAGGGATTGAACTCCTTAGGTTTATTAGGCAAATAATCTACGATTTGACCTATTGTCAGCCTTTTGATTTAGTTTGTTGTTATTTATCTTTTTTCCTGTCTGATGCTTTTTGGTTGGGCTAGCGTTGAATTATGATTTTCCTACCTCTACCTTATGTCTGGCTAGGATTACAGGTGTTTTCCAGCACACCCAAGTTTTTTTTGAGATAGGATCTCACCAACTTTTGCCTGGGATGGCCTCAAATCATCATCCTCCTGTCTCTGCCTCCCAAGTAGCTGGGATTTTCTCTGCCTGGCAAACATGTCAATTTTTTTATTGAAATTTTGTTTGTTTTATAGCTAAGCTTTATCATTCACTTTAGAGTTGACTTTCTTACATTTAAATTTTGTTTGGATTTTTTTCTCTTGTTCTATGAAACAGTAATTTGCTAAGTTGTTAAAGGTCTTTTAGATTATTGAAGGCATTATCAATAATGTATTGAAGTCTTTGTTTGCTTTAAGTGAATTGTGAGAGGAGTGTTTTTTTCCTTTGTTTTTCTGCTTGCAGTTAATACCCCTCTTCTGTGTGGTGTCCATTATGGAGCCATATGCTCCACTTTAGGCTGAGTGGCCTTTCATTTCTAGGAGCATAGGGCTCCTCTTGAACTTACTCTCTGAGTCTCTAGTGGGCAGTAATCTCTGCTTATTAGCTGGTGGCTCCCCTGGCTGCTGCTTCCCCCACACTTGGCTTTTGATCTTCAGTCTTGCAGATTTGTAGTCCTTTGTAGCTTTTGGAGAATATAAGATTATGAAGAGAGATTTGTTTCAAAGTGTTTTTTTTCCCCTCAAGGGTAGTCAAAACCAAATAAATCTCTACTTTAGGGTCTAACTGTGTAATCATTAAAGCAAGTATAAAAAGAATGGGGCACAGAATTACTGAGTTTTCTTCTGTTGTACATTTTAGTTAATGAGATAAATTTTTTCACTGATGATGTTAGTATGAAAGCTGCTGTCCCCAAGCGTACAGAACTTATGTGAGTCATTCCAAGCCATTTTCTGGTTCTGATGGTACTAGGCACTTGAACTGGACCTCACGCTTGCTAAGCAGGCACTCTTATTGCTGTGCCATGCCTGTAGCCCTGATTTTTCCTCTTATTTCTGAGATAAAGCCTCATTTCCTGATTGAGCCTATCTGTGTTAAATTGGTAGCCAGAATCACTGGCATACACTACTGCATCCAGCTTTCTGTTAGAAAGATGTATTGAGAACTTTTTGCTGCCTAGGCTGACCTTGAGCCATGATTCCAACAATCTCAGCTTCCCAAATAGCTAGGATTACAAATGTAAGCCACCAACACCTGACTACCAAATAATTTTCAAATCCGTTTGTACAGCACTTGGTCCTTCTTTTACTTTTTAACTGGAGAGGTAAAAACAAATGCATTCCTTGAGCCAGTTCCCTCCTTTTTCTTTTCTTACAGGTTAAGACTGCCTATAAGTGTGCATGTGTCTTACGGGACACTATAAACCCATACCTGCTGCGGAGAATGAAGTCAGATGTCAAGATGAGCCTTTCTTTGCCTGATAAAAATGAACAGGTCTGTAAATCCAAGAGATAAATAGCCATTTCTCAAGCACAGGGTGATTTTTCTGCCTGGATTAACCATACCTATGGTAGTTGTCCTGGCACTGTTTATACACTTTATGTGTCAGGTGTATTTGTTGTGGCATCTGCTCTTGCCTGGAATCTGAAGCCTTTGGTCTGGTCTGTTAACACATGGATTCCTATAACTATTCTTCCTAAATGTCTTCATTTTCCATAACCCCCCCATTCATTCCTGCTACACATTAGGTGCCAGCCTCATGCCACTCATGACTCTAGGCACTGAGACATAGCAGTGAATAAAGTGAAGTTTCATATTAACATGGAGCTCACATTCATTCATTCTTTTGTTTGTGTTTGTGTATGTGCTTGTACATGCACACTCATACTTGGTACTGAGGTTTAACTTTTAACTCTTGCTTGATATTTTATCTGGACTTTGTATATCTTTATGACAGCTGCCACAATGATTGGTAGATGCTAAGCATCTGTGAAATTTTCTTCAACTAATCATGCATTTGAGAGGCAAAGCTTTTCTTTGTTGTTATTGTATTTAAAGGACCAAAATGTAAGTTTGCTAAATTAAGAATTGTAAACCCTCAGCTTCATATTTTGGAAAGACTACTCAGGCTGCATATGAAAGTTCTGGGGAGAGAAGGAAAGTAGGCGCAGAATGATAGCCGTACTCTATAATATAAAGTCCTCAGAGAAAAGTTGTAGCCTGCACCACAATGAGGTTGGGGCTGGAAGGACAGAGCCACAGGGCTCAGAGATGACCACACTTCTACTTTAGATACTGGATGGATCTGCTGTCATTGAGGCTTCCAAAGGACAGCCAGCTTGGAGCACCGCAGTCAGGTTTCATTTAGGATGTGTGGGGAGTACCTATTCCATATCCACACGCACACAAGGCCACAGATGGGTCTAACTCCCCAAAGAGGGCTCTAGCTTAGACTTGTCGATAAGACTTATAAGCTGGGGAACATTCTGAAGGTTGGGTTTGCCTGAGGATTACATGGAGCACAAAAAGAGACAAACAATAAGTGGAAAGAGGAGCCATCTGGGAAGACTGGCAGAGGCTCCATAGACAGGCAGAGCTGGGGTAAGAGAAGCAGAGGCGGTGGCCATCAAACAAAGGATAACAGGGCCGTCCTGGAAAGAATCGAGTGTGTTTGACAACTCTAAAGTTGATAGTAGCACATTGGGAGCAGTTTCAGAGGCATCACTGGTGTGCCCCCCAGACCTGCCCCAGGTTTTGGCTTCAGAAGTGCCTGCAAGTGAGGAAGTATGGCACGGATTGTTCCCTCTTCTGTCTCCCTCTAAAGGAGGGACTGTCCTGAGAAGGGTGAGAGCTCATTCAGCTCCTGTGCAGAAGTTGAAGGCTGCCTTTGACCTTTGACCTTGACTGAACTCTCTTCCTTGGAGAATAAAGCAAATTCAGATGCAGTAGAGGCATTTCAGGTAGTAGGGACTAGAGAATCATATGGATTCTCAAACTTCTATTTTGGTTTTCTTTTCCTTTTTTTTTTTTTTTTTTTTTCAGAATTTAGGGCTTTGTGCTTGCTCTGCGTACTTGCTCAGCTAGCACTCTACCACCTGAGCCATGCTGCTTGCTTTTTTGCAGATTATTTTGAGATGGAGTCTCAAGGACTTTTCTTTTAATTTGGGCCCAGAACCATAATCCTCTAGATCTCAGCCTCCTGAGTAACTAAGATTTTAGTGTGAACAACTGGCACCCAGTAAGGCAACTGCTAACTAGTGTATCCAGCCCTATTTGATCATTGTTGAGTAGATGCTGAGACAAAGCTGTCTGGTGGGTAAGTGTCTTGGGAAGGGCAAAGAATGTTGGCAAAGCATTCCTTTCACTTTCAGAAGATGCTATGCAGGATATGCACAGGGAGGCTTTGATGGGGCAGGCTGCCATGGGACACTGACCATGATGCAATGGAGAAGGCAGTTGGAAATGTAGATCTGAGTTTGTTATTCATTGGAAAGGTGTAGTTGGTTGAAAAGGGCACAGGAATAGTTGAAAGAGCATCCTATGGGACTATGGCTGCCTATGGAAGAAGTCAAAGCATGCCTGGCAAGGGTGGCCTTGGGGAAAGAGGAGTTTGAGAGATAGAAAGTCAGTGAACACAATGGCATAGGTGGCTGGGAAGGGATGGGTTGCTATCAGTCTGGTAAATAGGTGAACTCAGAGATGGGGGAGTCCCAGGTGAGAAAGGTCCTGCCAGGTGTGTCAGCAGAGTGCAGGCACCAAGTGGAGCAGGAGGGGCAGTCTGAGTTCTGTATAGTGAAGAAAAGATGAAAGGTGGCCTTTGCACCTTGGTCCTGAGCAGGAAGCCAAGGGGATTCTTACGTGGTAGATGGATACAGAACAGGGGAAAAAAGAGGTCCTATCATATGTGGTCTTAATACAAGGTACCTATGTCTGGCTTTTTAATTACTTGATTCTAATATTTGTTAAAAGATTATTATGTCTCTCCCTCCACACCCCATAGGTCTTATTTTGCCGTCTTACTGATGAGCAACATGAAGTCTACCAGAATTTCATTGACTCCAAAGAAGTTTATGGGATTCTCAATGGAGACATGCAGGTCAGCCAAAGAATAGAAGATGAACTGCAACTATAAATGAGTAGAATGTATGGAAATGACCTATAGCTCAAGGGAGACACTAGATGGAAGGAGACTGGTTAATGTCTTGGATGTTCCAGGTCTACCTTGTCATGTCTTCTCAGTTTAACTGTGTATGGTCTATGGGGTGCAAGTGGAGTCCTCGCTACAATGTAGAGACCTTAGGAGTAGAGAAGCTTCAGGTAGCTTCAGGTAGCAACCTGAAGCTATGGAGCTAGAACCCAGGGTCTTACCTCATAGGTGGGTGTGAGGTGCATTGCTGGGATTTACCTAAAATTTTGATGAAAATAATCATTCTCTCAGAATGTTTCATCTACTTCTCAGATGAGCCCTGTACCCCATAAATATTGGTGGACCATTGTCATATTGGAAGCTGGATATAATTCTAGTTCAGATATCTCTGATGCTAATTCTGCTTTTCCCCAAGGTGGGAAAATAGTTTACTTATGTCATTCTGTTCCTTTCAATGCTTCAAAAGTTCTTTCTACTACTGTCTAGAATGTGGAGGTTAGCAGTATCCTCTCAGAGAAAACCCATCATATAACTGATCTGAATGTGGTGGAGATTGGCCCCTTCCACTGTAGAGTGTCCTCAGGCCTTGATGAGAACATGCTGTGGGACCACACAGCTGGTGGGAGCATCGTGGATGAGTTGAGGAATGTGTGCCAGACCTCGGCATCCGGATTTTGTTTAAATGACATATGCTACCACTGGGTCAACAGTTTCCTGTGATCCTCTTGAAAACACTTGGTGAGAACCTTGAACCCGAATTCCTTCCAAAAGTTAGAGAACACACAATAAATTTAAGAACACTCCTCTTTTGTCTCCATGTGGAATGGTGCACTTGAATCCAGCACTGGTCTGGTAAAGGGACACACCAGCCTAGTGGGTTGAGCAGGTGCATGGAGGAAGAACGTTTCCGCACACTGTTCTCTAACAGCTTTGTTAGTTGTGGGCTGTAATCAGCCTCTGGCGTCTGTGTTAAATAAGCATATGTGATAGGCTTGTGAATAGCATCTCCTCTATACCTTCAGTGAAACTTGTACCTTTTTTGTGCATTAGTATCTTACCCTGTGAATTGTGCCTTACTGATTTGATAAGATTCCTAAGGCTAGGGAGACCCAGTCTCCTTGCCTGCATTCTGGGCAGAGCTGTTTCCATGTGTGCGGTCAAAACCAGCCTTGGGAGTCCAGTCCATTGTGTCAGACCATACTGAGGTCTGCAGCCACAGTCCTTGTCCTGTCTTGCTGGAGGAAGAGCTGAGTGCACTGTAGGCTCAAGCCGCTCCTAGCCCACTCCCATACTTTGAGACAAACACACACTGTGTTCTTGATGTCAGATCCTGTGCTTTCAGGTCCAGGTGCTTCCATCTGGTTTCTTGTTTCATGTCCCACGTATCCATAGGAAAATTCTAAATCATGCCAATTTCTTCAGCTCTCCCGAACCCCTCCTTCACTTCTGTAAGATGGGTGGTCTGGCTCATACTGTTCAGTAGATAGAGTATACAATCCACTCTCTCAGCTTAGAGTTTTCCTGGTTACCTTGAAAAGTAAAAAGTAAAATTAATTTTGATCTTGGCTTTTTAAAATTTTTATTGTTATTATAAAGGTGGTATACAGAGGAGTTAAAGTTACATGAGTCAGGTAAAGAGTATATTTCTCTTTGGACAATGTGTCCCTTGCTTTCACATTTAGCCTAATATATCTAAAATATTTTTTTATATAATCATTGATTGATTGATATGTAAGCATGATTGATGTATTTGACCATTTTGGGGCCTGGCTCTAATTTTGGATTTGATTGTGCATTTGCGGTGCATCTCAGTTCAGCCTGAGCTTCCTGCACTCAGGAGTCTCATGCGGCTCTCTGCTACTGGGCTGGACTGCAGGTTGACAGGTGGCTCTTCTTTTGTTAGTGTTACTGATTTTTCTCAGATTTTTTTTTCTTCTGTTCCTGGGACTTGAACTTCAAGCCTGGGTGCTGTCCCTGAGCTCCTTTTTGCTCAAGTCTAGCACTCTACCAGTAAAGTCACAGCTCCACTTCTGGTTTTCTCATGGTTAATTGGAATAAGAGTCCAATGGACTTTTCTGCCTGGGCTGGCTTTGAACCGCAATCCTCAGATCTCAGTTTCCTGAGTAGGTAGGATTACAGGCATGAGCCACTGGCACTTGGCTCACAGTGTCTTTTTAATCATTTACTGTGTGACTATTGTTTACTCCCTAAAATTCATATTAGCCTTTTATTATTGGGTTAATGCATTCTCTCTTTCTATTTGAGCTTACATGTCATTGGGTTTGATTTGAGTCACATTCTGGAAGCTGAGGAGAACCCCATTCTTGATTTAGCTGATGTCTGGAGCAGTTGCCTTGGGTGGGTTTAGCAGCGAGCATGTACCCCAGCCTCCTTTGCTTTTCTGCTGTATGTCTGTGGATCATCTTTACATCTTTCTCACTTGTGCATTGGTTGTTTAGATTTGTTTTCTGCTTCAGTAACAGTGTGAACTTTGATGCACAATTAGGCTTTAAAACTTGTAATGAGGTACTTGCAAATGTACTATTTAGATGCATCTGATAAGTCATGTGACTGATATCCCCAAATTTAGATTGGCTTGGTTTTTTGATATGTTGATTTGAGGAGAGTTCAGATTTATATATCACGTTTGAAATGCTCTGAACTGCATGGCAGTTTTTTTTTTTAGTGAGGGAAAATGAATGGTCAGTAACTGGACCCTTGTAGATGTGTTCAGTCTAATAGACTTGTTGTTCAATGTGACATTGTTGACTTGATGTCCCTTTGAACAACTACTTAAAATATCATATTTTTTAGAAGAATTGTTGTTTCCAGAAAAGTTACTCTGAACATAAGTGGAACTTAGTTTTTTACAGCTTATGTTAACTCAGATTTCCATTGTAACAAAATCAACTTAAAGGAGGAAAAGTTTATTTTGACTCATGGCTTCAAAAGTTTTAGTCACTGTCACTTGATTCTCTTGTTTCTGGGCTATGGTAAGGCAGACATGATAAGGAAGCAAATAGTAGAGCATAACTGCTGGCTTCATGGAGAGAGAGAGTAAGGAAGAAGAGGGAGGGGCCAAGAACAAGGACCCATTCAAGGACTATGCTTAAAGTAGGTTCCACCTCCTAAGCTTCTGTGACCTTCTGGTAGCCCATCGAATTATGAACCTGTCAATGGATAGGATCATCCACTGATAAAACCTGAGCCCTCATGATCCAGTTACTTCCTCAAAGTGCCACATCTGAAGGTTGCTGAGTTGAGGACAAAGCCTTCAACATAAGAGCCTTTGTGGACTATTCCAGATCACCAGCTGAAACACAGCTCCTAGGAATTCTGGGATTAGAGAAGAAGCTAAGAGGCTGGCGCAGAATGACTTTTGAATCCTGTCACATACTGAATAGCCTTCCTCCCTTCCTGTTTTCTATGAGGTAACCTGAGCACACTTAAATTCCTTTATACCACAGATTTTCTCTGGACTTGTAGCCCTAAGAAAAATCTGCAACCACCCTGATCTCTTTTCTGGAGGTCCCAAGAATCTCAGAGGTCATCCAGATGAGGAACTAGAAGAAAATCAGTTTGGATACTGGAAACGTTCTGGGAAAATGATTGTGGTTGAGTCTTTGTTGAAAATATGGCACAAGCAGGGTCAGCGAGTGCTGCTGTTTTCTCAGTCAAGGCAGGTGAGTGCAAACCATATGCAAAACCAAGTTGGTTCTTAGGACTTAGGATCACCAGTGAGAAAAAGGTATACCAGTGTTATGTCTTATATCAAAATCCAAAATTATATCTCCAAAGATAGTCTCTTTGAGAGACTGGATCTTTTCTAGAGATGTAATCTAAAAGTTGGCTTTTTTTGGGTGGAGACAATACTGGGATTTGAACTCAAGGCCTTGTGCTTGCTCAACTGACACTCTACAACTTGAACGATACCTCCAGGACTGGTTTTTGGTAGTGATTTGGAGACAGTGTCTAGAGAAATTTTCTACTCATTCTAGCCTTGAACCATGATGCTCCAGATCTCAGCCTCCCGAGTAGATAGCTAAAGATATAAGCCACTGGTACCCTGGCTGGAAATTAATCACACCTGTTGTCTAGATGAACTTGAGTCTGATCTCGGGCTACTTAGAAAAGTTATAAGAACTGAACTATAAAGAACTTACCAATGTACTCTTACAGCAGTTGTGTCTACTGTAAAGCTGGCAGTCCATTCATTATAGGTCTTTGTGGGATTAACACAAGTGGATAAGCACTCACCAGGGGAGATTTGATTTGTGAACTATTCTCCCCATCTTCCAACAGATGTTACACATCCTTGAAGTGTTCCTGAGAGCCCGGAATTACTCCTATCTCAAAATGGATGGGAGTACCACCATAGCTTCACGGCAGCCTCTGATTGCAAAATATAATGAGGTAACAAGGGAGTATAACAGAGGTGAATGATGCTGCTGACAGTGGGGGCGGGGGGTGAGTGTGTTCTCAACCTTTAGGGCTGGGCAGGGGTTAATAGCGTCTTTTGCATTTAGCTTCTATGCAATTCAGGATTGTTAGGTGTGTGAGTATAGCCTTTGCACTGGGGAGGGTCTTGTTGAAGGGAGTATGTGTATATATGTGTGTTTTCCTCATTAAAAACCTACTTTTTAAATGTTGTTAATAAAATGAATATTAAAAGCAGATGTAGCAGGATGCCAGTGGCTCACACCTGTAATCCTAGCTATATAGGGAGGCTGAGATCTGAAGATCCAGGTTGAAGCCAGCTCAGGCAGAAAAGTCTGAGACGCTTATCTCCAATGAACCACCAAAAAGCCAGAAGTGGAATCTGACTTAAGTGGTGAAGAACTAGCCTTGAGCCAAAAAGCTCAGGGACAGCACCCAGGCCCAGGCTCTCACTTACATATATACACACACCACACACAAAAGCTGTGGGGTGGGATCTTGATTCACTAGAGGTCTCTAGGTTGTGGATGTTGGCAACTAGATGCCATAGGTAGGGCCTGTAGAGGCAGAGATATGGAGCCTTCGTGGGCTGCAGGTTTGTTCACCTTGTTGCTGATTTTGCCTGTAGGATACATCCATCTTTGTGTTTCTTCTAACCACGAGGGTGGGTGGCCTGGGAGTCAACCTGACCGGGGCCAACAGAGTCATCATCTACGACCCTGACTGGAACCCTAGCACGGACACACAGGTCTGTCTATCTCCTCCCAGCAAAAATGCGTTAGTAGAAATACAGTTTATGCCTGGCACCATGATCATCCTTGGATGTGCTAGTTGGCTTCCAAGAACAGTCTCCATTTTGGTCCATTCCTGTTCTTGCACATGAAGAACAACCTTCAGAGTCACAAGCTGTTTATCCAGCATCTTCCTCATAGATGTGGGGTGAAAGGAGCACCTGCAATGCAAAGTTAGGATCTCTTCCCCCCCCCCACCCTCCCCCCCCCCACCCCCCCCCCCCACCCCGCAAACAAGATACTTTATTCTGTTTTTGACAACTGGTTTATTTCCCTTAGTAGACTTTAAGTGTAATTGTCCTTAGCGAGAATTCTCACTCTGCGTGCTAAAGACGGTGCTGACTCTGTTTCTTTTGTTGGGTCCTTGCTCTGGGCAGGCCCTTGTTGAGAAGTCTGTCTCCACTGCAGGCCCGGGAGCGAGCGTGGAGGATAGGCCAGAAGAAGCAGGTGACTGTGTACAGGCTTCTGATGGCCGGAACCATTGAGGAAAAGATCTACCACCGGTCAGTGCACACTCTGCCAGCCCTGATGACACACCCAGAGTGTGGTGCAGGGAGTTGTTTTTAAAATGTTTTCATCTTAGGATAATAGTTACTGTAATTTAAGGGACATAGTTTTTTTTTTTAATTTGTATTCTTTTCTTTGCTATCAAAATCAGCTTTTGGTGGCCTAAAGTGAGTTTTTCAAAAATGCCTTTCAGCCTGGTAAATAAGGTCTTCATATTGTGACCTCAGAGAGCTCTTCCTATCTGCCATATATGGCATACCACTTCCTTTTAGAAAAACTGTGAAGTCACCAGGCACTGGTATCTTAAACCTGTAATCCCAGCTACTAGGAGGCTGAGAGTAAGAGGATTGCAGTTTGATGCCAATTGGGCAGAAAAGTCCAAGAGACTTAATCTCCAATTAAGCAGGAGAGAGGTGGGCTGGAGGAGTGACTTAAGTGGTAGTGTGCCAGCTGAGCAAGCATGAAACCCTGAGTTCAAACCCAGTACCTGAGAGAGAGAGAGAAAGATAAACAGAGAAGGAGAAAGAGAGGGGGGAAGGAAGAAAAGGAGGAGGAAAGTGATGAAGTTGAAGCTGGCATATTAACATTTGCACATATGAGGCAGTTGTCCCCCAGTGTGGTGTCACATGGTTCAGATAGATGCCCCTTAGAGCAAAGGTGGCGCAGGATACTTGTTCCTTCACTGACTTTCTCTGCCATGGTGCAGGTATTTCAGGCAATGGTAACTTCAGCAGCTAAGTCTAGACATTGCTAGCTTTTCTTTCTCACTATTGACTTCCTGCTTGTCCTATGTGCAACTCCTCCATCAGCCCTGGGCCACTGCTGGAGTGATCTGTCCTTTAAGGGCCTGTTGGAGAAGGTTGGGGATGAATTGACTCCCATGAGAGGAAACTTTTAGCTGGAAGAGATATATTTTTCCATGGAGATACCATGTAAGAGGGATGATGGTGTGGGGCTTTAGCAGAGCATGGTCCAGCAGGTGGAACTGGAGGCACCATTCAGAGTGAGGGCATTGAAAAACCCAGGCAAGAGCAAGGAAGCCTCCATTAACTGTGCAGCATGAACCTGGCTGCTCAGCCAGTGAGTCCTATACATATGTGAAATATGATGAATCTTGGAAATGAAAAAGGCTCATTGGGTAAAAATAACAATGTATGATTCCTAATTTAAATTCCTTATGACCAATAATGCATTGCATAGTAAATTTCAAGGCCACTTGAAGAGCTGAATGACCATCACTCTCATATTGTTTCATAACTGGAATTTTGAGGTTCAGCCAGGCTTTGTTTCACACCAGTATTGCTTTTATCTTTTTAGACAAATCTTCAAGCAATTTCTGACAAACCGAGTGCTAAAAGACCCAAAACAAAGGCGGTTTTTCAAATCCAATGATCTTTATGAGCTGTTTACTCTGACTAGCCCCGATGTAAGCCAGAGCACCGAAACAAGTGCAATTTTTGCAGGTATTACATAAAGTTGTTTAATTTAGAGTAATTGATTATATAACAATGTGCAGGGAGCCAGGCACCAGTGGCTCACACCTGAAATCCTAGCTGCTCAGAAGACAGATCTGAGGATCTCAATTCGAAGCCAGCCTAGACAGGAAAGTCTCTTATCTCCAATTAACCACCAAATAAGCCCCAAGTAGAGCTATGGCTCAAGTAATAGAGCACTATCCTTGAGTAAAAAAGTTCTGGGACAGAACCCTGGCCCTGAGTTCATACCCCAGAATGGGCACCAAAAAAAAAAAAAATCATGCAGAGTAACATGAGCTGAGTTTTTTCCCCTTCATAGGAACTGGATCAGATGTGAAGACGCCCTCTCGCTGTTTAAAAAGAAAGGCCACACCAGCCTTCCGAACAGACCACACCATTCCAAAATGCACCAAGTTTCCAGATTCTAACATATCTGTCAAGGGGGCCACACTGACTGAGGAGGAGCCTAAGGCCGCAGGAGTAGTAACATGTAATGAGAGCGGCCTTTTGAAAGGCGCCCTGCACCTGGGTGGCAGTAGCAGTGCTGGGGACAGTGGAGAGGCAGGCATGGAGTCTGGACCCAAGGGGCTGACAGTGGCCAGTGCAAGCGGTGACTGCTCAGATTCTGTCAGAGTTGGCAGGACACCTGGGCCCTCTGGTGGGGGAAGTACTTCCGAGAAGGAAGGGCCATCCTGTGAAGGAGAGAGTTGTCGGCTGAAGACAGAACCTCTTTGGGAGAACGGACGAGTGGAAAGTCATTTTCATAAGCACAAGTCAAAAACAAAACATCAAGATATGGCAGGTGAAGAGACACCAGGGAAACCCATGAAGGCAAAGTGCCGTAGAGATGCCAAATTTGAGGGAACTCGCATTCCACATCTGGTGAGGAAAAAGCGGTACCACAAGCAAGACTCTGAGCAGGAAAGTCAGGCCACAGAACAAAACAGCGATGATTATGTTTTACAAAAGCTTTTCAAAAAGTCAGGTAAGTTTTGAAGATTTGTTTCTATTTACTTATTTATATAAATAATTACTGACAGTACTGGGGTTTGAACTCAGAGCCTCACACTCACTTGGCTTTGCTTGTTCACTGGGGCTCTACCACTTACGCCACATCTCCAGACTGTTTTTTTTTTGTTGTTGTTATTTTCATGATAGGGCCTGGTGAACTTTTCTGCCTAGGCTGGGTCAAACCACAATCCTCTCAATCTCCTGAGTAGCTAGGATTACAGGTGGGAGCACTAACACCTGCCTTCCCTTTGTTTTTAGAGAGTTATTATCCCTATTTTTTGTACTTATTTTATATATATGTTTCAAATATTTTCTCAAAGTTTGTCTTGTTGTTCTTATTGTTTTTTTCATGAAAAGATTATTTTAAAAATATTAAAGCCATGGAACCAGTGACTCATGCCTATAATTCTTGCAACTCATGGGGTTGAGATCTGAGGATCACAGTTCCAAGCCAGCACAGGCAGGAAAGTCCTTGAGACTCTTACTTCCAGTTAACCACCAAAAAAGCCAGAAGTAGAGCTATAGTTCAAATGCTAGAGCAATAGCTTTGAGCAAAAAAGCTCAGGAACAGTGCACAGGCCCTGAGTTCATGCCCTAAGACTGTGTTACACACACTTTCTCACACACACACACAAATAATAGTAACAAGTATATCAGTCTCATCATGAGTTATAGTTAGAAAGCTTTTCCTACACTTTGATAATTTACCATGGTTTCATGTATGATTGTATGTACCACTTATGTGATATTATTTTCCACACTTAGATCTCTGATCCATTTGGAGCAAGTAACTCCCGAAAATCTGTTCTCTGGTGACTTGGGAAGCTTCCTCTACCAAACAGTCCGTTTTCCTATGTAACTGTCTTATTTATAGACTTTGTGATGAACTCTGATGAGTCTGTTCCTACCAAAGCCCCCCTGCCTTTCCAGGGATTTCCCAGAAGTTCATGAAGGTTCATTTTCCCATATAGATTTTAGTATCAGTGTGTAGCTTTGTACAAGAAAAGAAAACTGAGATTGCAGTAAGTGTAGAAATTAGCTCAAGGAGACTGGTGAGTGAATTCCTCCAGTCAAAGGCAATGAAGGCCTTCCACTTGTATGGAAGCATATCTTACCTTCCCAGGAACGTTGACATGTCTTCGTGTTTCATATTTTTGTTGCTGCATTTGAAGTTTTCCCTACCACTGTATCCTTTAGTTGACTAGTGAATAAGGTTATAGGTTTCATGATGATGAGATGATGGTGATGGTGGTGATGATGATTATTGTACAAAGGGGTTCTTTTCCAGAAGGCAGGTTATAATACATCTTGATCAGGGTCAACCCTCTATCCTTCTCTCTCATCTTTCCCCATCCCTCTCTACTTTTGAAGGTAAATAGTTCAACTTTTACATAATGTACATTGACTATAATAACTTGATTTGCTTGCCTTTTTTCCTTCCATTTGTGTGCCCAGTTATAGGTTTCTGTATGTAAATTTTATGCTTTATTCTTTTCTGAATTATTTTAAGTTTTATCATTGATTCTCTGGGATTTTCTAGCTGTTTGACCATTAAAAGCCTCAAAAGTAGGAAGAGACCATACTTAGCATGCATGAGGTCCTGGGTTCCATCCCTTGCACCAGAACAGAACAAAACAACTCTCAAAATAGTATTAGAGGGGTTGGAGACATAGTTCAGTGGAAGAGCACTTGAAGATTTAGCTCAGTGGAAGAGCACCTGGCAAGTGCAAGGCCCTGAGTTGAGTCCTTACCTCTGCAAAATAACAATAGTTTTGGAGATAACAGACACCTTAATTTTCTTTTTCTTAGTGAAAATAGCCTCTAGTGTTTGCCCACTAGCCTGATGTAAGGCGAAGATGTTTTATTGTATATTTTATTTCATACTGATCAATTCCCAAGATTCTGAGTGTTTTCATCAGATCTGGATGTTGAGTTTTGTCAGAGACATTCCCAGCATCTATGAAATATCTGCAGATGATGTTGAAATCAATATAGTAAGGGTTATTAAATAATGGATTTCCTTGTATTGAACCAGCCTTGAATTCCTAGAATTACTCTTACCTAAGCTATAATGTATGATTTCTTACATTGCTGTTTGATTGTATTTGCTATTATCATACTTATATATACCTCATTGATGTTCATAAATGATATCGGTCTCTAGTTTTCTTAGTATTATGCTTATCATTGATTTTATTACAAATTTTTATCATTTCCTAGATAATTATCAATTTTTTCTAGTTTTCAAATTTTCACACGTGTACAAAGTACTCATAATGATTTTTTAAAGTTTGCTCCGTTCCAAGATAATTGTTCCATTCTTCACATTTATAATTCTGTAAATTTATTTTTGTTTTCCTTTCTTATGCTTAGTGAGTTATTTATTATATCTTTTTTCAGCAAGCTAAGAGTTTTTTTAAATTGGATTCATGATTCTCTACATCATTAATTTTTCCTTTTTCCTTTATTCCTTGCATTTTTTGATGTATTTTGGTGTTTTGGAATTTTGTTTCTTTCTATAATGATGTATAAAGATGTATAATTTCCACTGATTCCTGTGTCAAGTATCTTAGTGATTTTTTTTTTTTTTTTTTGCCAGTCCTGGGGTTTGAACTCAAGGCCTGGCACTGTCCCAGAGCTTCTTTGTGCTCAAGGCTAGCACGCTAACACTTCTGGCTTTTTCTGTTTATGTGGTACTGAGGAATTAAACCCAGGGCTTCATGCATGCTGGGCACGCACTCTACCACTAAGCCACATTACCAGCCCAGTGATTCTTATATATAGCATTTTTGTGATTGATTTTTGAAAATTCTGTAATTCTGGTTTATATAGTCCCTTTCACTGAGTTTCTTAGGAGACCTTTGCCTTTGTTCCTGGTAGCAGGGAAGAGGTTAAATATTGAAATTGGAACGCAAGTACTTTCCTGAAATGATTTTAAAGCAGGAATAATTAATAGCTTTCCCTCATTGGGCAGCACTGAATGGATATAGCATTTGTGAAGGTCCTAGGTCATAACAACCATCTGAAAATGGCAGCTAAAAATGTTCCTGATTTGTCTCCCACGACACTGGCCTGTGCCAGATGAAAACAGTGTCCAGGGTACAAACAGGCATCACAGTCACTGTTTCCTTGTTCTTGGCAGTGGGCGTGCACAGCGTGGTGAAGCACGATGCCATTGTGGATGGGGCCAGCCCAGACTATGTGCTGGTGGAGGCGGAAGCCAGCCGAGTGGCCCAGGAGGCTCTGAAAGCCCTGAAGCTCTCACGTCAGCGGTGTCTGGGGGCTGCATCTGGTGTTCCTACCTGGACCGGCCACAGGGGGACTTCTGGTGCACCTGCAGGAATAAAGTAAGGGAACCCTCCCAGCTTGCCAAGCTAGCCTAAAGTCAGTCATAATAAAAAGCCCTCAGAGAGCCATCAAATGGGCCAGACTGGATGAGGAGAGGAAATAGTGTTCTTATTTTATCCTCTCCCTGACTGTCATCCCGATTTTCCAGAGCCCAGTATTTGGAGGGGGCAAGGGGAAATGGTACCCATTTTGTCAGAGGTGATTAAAAACAGTGAGAGAGACCAAACTCAATAAGAGGAGCAGCCATTTGAAGCAGTCGGCAGAGACTCAGCGACTGCAGTGGGTGGGCCGCCTCCCTTCAAGAGGTGGTGGCCCTTACTTCCTGGAGAGCAGAGAGGACCAAGCAAAGGCAATAGAGAAGAAGCCCGTGGCCCTGAGGCTCTGAAAGCTTTGCCACAAAGTTGGAACTGTTTAATTGTTCAAAGAGGACTTTGGTCTCTGATTCACAGCATTGTATCTATTGTGATCCTTTTTCTTAGGAGCAGATTTGGTCAGAAAAGGAACTCTAAGTTAACTGTGCAGTCTCCTTCTTCAGCATCTCCAACACAAAAATGCCAGGTATTGTGTTTTGCATGTGTGAGGCTTTTCTGGTGGAGCAGCCAGGAAACTTCATTAGATCTTTGTGTGGCATGGTGTGTGTTGGGGGGAGGGGTATACGTTCCTGGGGCTTTAATTCAGGGCCTGGCCACTGTGCTATCCCTGAGTTTCTTTGCTCAAGGCTAGCATTCTTCCATTTGAGCCACAGCTCCACTTTCAGCTTTTTGGTTGTTAGAGATCAGAGTCTCACAGACTTTCCTGCTTGGGCTGGAGTCAAACCATGATCCCCAGAGCTCAGCCTCCTAAGTAGGTAGGGTTATAGTCATGAGCTACTACCACCTGGCTTACATTAGATCTTTCATATAAAGAAAATGGTTATTGCTGGCATAGTGGTAACTCATATTTCTCTTGTCAAGTCTGACTTAAATGTGCCTTCATTTGACTCTAAAGGCCTAGTTAACTTCCTAAAGCACAAAATCTATAGGAGTTTCGGTGTGCTCTTAGAAACTTGGCATAAGGACAGGAGTGCCAGTGTGAACGTAGTCTACCTGGCAGTTCCAGAGACAGCCACCCTCTAGAAGGAAGGTCCAGAGAACAATCATGAATGTTGTCCATAATGGACAAGCTGCCAGGGCAGAGTGCCCAGTGTCTCTCCCTGATCTGCAGCTCCCTGCATGCTCCCAGCCCTTCTTTGGGACCCCTGTCCCTTCCCACCATCTAGCACTCTCTCTTTCTGATTAAGGATGAGTTTATGATAAAACTTAAAAAAGCTCAGGCCTGAACTCCAATTTCAAATTGACCCAAACACACTTAGGTGTGGCAAAGCTTTCTGATTTCCCATCTTCTGTGCTTTTGGTAGCCAGAGTTTGAGTCCTTTCCACTTGCCTTCAGAGATCAGCCCTCCCTCGGCCTCCCTCTGTTCTCACGCTCAAAGGAGGCTTCAGGGAACATCTATTTGGCCGTCCTTTCTGTTTCTTTGTTTATGATGCGTTCAGCCTGGCTGGACTCAGCTATCTGCATTGCATGACCTGCCTGCTGGGCACCTGGGTTATATTACCTCCTGCTCCCTTTGGGGGATCGAATCAGTCTATCAATGCAGTGATCTTCTTTTCTAGGACAGCACATTGAAGAAGGAGGGAAAAGATGGTGCCCTGGAGCACTTCAGTGGCAAAGCAGAAGAGGCAGAGTCTTCCTCCAGAGCCCCTGCTTCTTCCTTACTCTTGGCCAGGATGAGAGCAAGAAACCATCTGATTCTGCCAGAGCGCTTAGAGAGTGACAGTGGACTCCTTCCAGAGACTTCTGCCCCACTGCCCACTTCCACAGAACATGACGATCTACTGGTAGAGATGAGGAACTTCATTGCTTTTCAGGCTCATGTGGACGGCCAGGCTAGCACTCAAGAGATACTGCAAGAGTTCGAATCCAAGCTGTCCACCTCACAGTCTTGTGTCTTCCGAGAGCTATTGAGAAATCTGTGCACTTTTCATAGAACTTCTGGTGGAGAAGGGATTTGGAAACTGAAGCCGGAGTACTGCTGAGCACACTGCTCCCTCGGCTTGTAGTTTGCTTCTCAAATGGCGTTTCTGGACATCCATCCCATGATGAGTGATCACACATTTGACGACAGGCGTTCTCAGCACTTGATGTTTACTTTAAATGGCTTCTACCTCAAAATGAACACTTGAAGGAAGAAGAAACTCTTCCCCCCAAAATGAAAAGTTTTAATAATGCTAACTAAATAAGAAGATAGTTAAGATTAGGTTGACTTTTTTTCTTGGCTCTAGGAATTATGTTCTGAAATCAGGGACCTAATAGTTACCTCTTGGAACACATTGCTTCCTTTATACAAAAGATGCTGTAGGGACCACGTTACTGCTCACTTCAAAGTCTGGGACAGAAATCACAGTCCTTTGTACTGGTGCTAGAAACATGTCTTAGATTTAGTCTGGCCTGTCCACTAAATTAGTTTATTGGTATCTCATAGCAGCAATGTAATGTTTTGATGCCTAACTTCTAAATGTTTATTTTCATTTGCAATGCATACAAAAAGATTTGTTCTCTCTCAAATCATATGAATTGCCTTTAAACAATCTTTTTAATGTCCTCTTAAATTGGCAGATTATTTATTGTTTTGTTTTGTTTGTGGTGCTGGGTCTGGAACCTAGGACCTTGTACATTCATACAAGCACACTACACCCCCAGCTGGCAAACTTTTTTCCTAGGACAGTGCAAAATGGCTTGATAAATTGTAAGATGTACATTGGTGACAAGTTATAATATCCTCAGTGTACTTAACTATACTTGTTTATTAATGTGAAGTGTATTTTTCCCAAGAAACAGTTGGTTTTAGAATAAAATGTGTTAGTATAAAAATACCCAGGCAAGTGTTGGGAAGGTGGCTCAGTGGTAGAGTGCTTGCCTTGCATGCATGAGGCCCTGGGTTTGATTCCTCAGCTCCACATAAGCAAAAAAAAGCCGGAAGTGGTGTTAGGGCCAATGATAGAGTGCTAGCCTTGACCTGAAGAGCTGAGGGACAGCGCCCAGGCTGAGTTCAAGCCCCATGACCGACAAAAAAGCAATAAAATCTCACACACACACACCCATTTGGATGCAGCTGTATGCACACACATGCAAAAACAGCATGCGCAACAGCTAGCTGTGCCCTCAGTACAGGAAGTGACAGCATGAAGTCCTGTTTCTTTCACCTGGTGAGCGCTGTCTGGTTGCTGAGGTGCTTGGCCAAGGGCACTGCTGACTGTCTTAGGAATGCGGCCCTCCTGGGTGAGCCCCTGCCCAGCTGTGTTAGTTTCTCTGCTTCCCAGACTAGTCAGTTCATGTATTTGTGCTGTTGTCATGATGTGACCTTGAGCCTGTTAACTTTTCTCAAACTCCTTTTTCTTGTTTCCCTCTCTCAGTTGTTGTATTGTCTCATCTCTTGGGTCTTGCTTTCCTTAGAATCTTCTTGTAGGCTTCACAGGTGGTCTTTTTCCTGCACATGTGCGCTCTGGCTTGTGATTTTTACCTCTCACTTCTCTGTGGTGTGCTTGCCTGCCCTTTTATGCCCAGTTGTGACAACTGGCTTGTGCTTAACCCTTTCATCTGTGTCCAGATCAACCATTCGCTCTTTCCTATGACCCAAACCAGAGAAGACACAGGCTTGGCTTTCTCTGATCTTAGATTTTGTTAAATAGTTTCAGCCAAGGGTTCCTCTCTTCCATAGAGCAATCCTGCCCCAGTCATGGTTCCCATCAGGATTTTCTGGATTGTAGGTTTCCCTTCCCTCCCTCTGTTTTTAGTATATATATATGGGGGGTGATATTATTTTTTTACTTTTCCATCATCATCATCATCATCATCTAAAGATCATAGAGATTTTCAACAGGTAAGTCCTAAATGTGTGGGCTTTGCTTGGAAGGAAGTTAAAAGTCATGACTGGTTTGTTTCTGGGGAGCTCTTGATTTTTGTTTTTGTGTAAGAACATCACATTCCCCTTGTTCTCAGGGTGATGTGCTGATACGGTTCACCAGTGTGCATCCCTTGGGTCACGTACCTACAGTGTAAGTTATGATGTCACTGGCCTGCCATGACCCTGGGCAGGTGTGTCTCAGAGTGGAGATCGGAGAATGTAGATCTCTAAATAAAAGGGTTTTATAATATATAGTACCTTGTCCACAGAGACAACATTTAATTTAATTTAACATTCAACACTTCGTTTCAGTGTAAATAGATCCACTGTATTTAATAATTTAATGTTATATCATTAAAAATAGTTTTAAAATGTTGTCAAGTTTTTTTTTAAATTTCCCTTGTTACTATGTTAGTATACTATCACTTAAAATTTTTTCTAGTAATGCTCTTAACTTTTTATTTCCCCCACCAGCCCTTGCTCTTGTTCCAGAGCTGGGGCTCAGTGTGGCACATGTTCTTCTAGCCTGTTTCCTTGGTGTTTACACAGCATACAACACAGATTATTACCATAATCTATTTACCCCCCATCTCTCTTTCTCTCTCCTCTTCCTCCCGCCAACCCCCCCCCCCCCGCCCCCCCCTCCCCCCCAGGTACTGGGTCTTGAACTCACAGGCTGGGCTCAGTCCATGTGTTTGTTTTGCTCAAGGCTAGTGCTCTACCAGTTGAGCCACTGTGCCACATCCAGCTTTGTGGTAGATTATTGGGATTCAAACCTCATGGATTTTCCTGCCTGGGCTGGCCTCAAATGTCAATCCTCAGATCTCAGCCTCCTGAGTAACTAGGATTACTAGTGTGAGCCTCTGATGCCTAGCTTTCATAATCCATTTTGTTATCCTTTCTTTTGGTAGAATCCCTGAATTTTACTTGGACTCATAGCTGCTCAGCTAACTACTTCCCACCCTCTGTGGCAGTTAGTGGTGTCCATATGACACAATTTTGGTCAATGACTGGGCTTTAAAGAACTTGGGCTATACACTCCCCTTCATGCTTCTCCCCTTGTTCTTGCTGGCTCAGATGCCAGTGGGGCCTCAGTGGGCCCTGGGTTGTTCTAGAAATCGCAAGTTGGGGATGGGGAAGGCTGCCTTGCCGGTCTTGACCCACCTGCCATTGATTCTTACTAAAAGGGAACTAAGTTAATGACTTGCTAAAACTATTTGCTCTTGGAGATGATTCTAACTGCAAGTTTGTTTTTTATATATAATTCACATAAATAGGACGATGCCATCCTCTGACTTTAACATTTTATGCATTCCTTCTTTCACCCGATTGCTAGGTTTCATGGAGGCAGTAAAATTGTTTCCTCCAATTCACAACCCATTAAGGGACTCATTTGTCCACACTGACCAACAGCAGGTACTGTTGGTCTTCATTGGTTCTTTCAGACCAACCTGGTGAAAAAAATGGTCTTGTTTTAACTTGAATTTTCCTATTTACAAAACCAAACATTTCTCTATATCCATACTTGCCTAATTTTTTAGGGGTATTTCCTTTTGGGGCTTGCTGCCCCCAGATAGAAATGCTCTCACTCTTGGTCAGTAGACCATTTTTTCCCCTGCCAACTTGAAATCCAAGTTTTACCTCACCCTGTGCTGTGCTGGGTGATTGCCATAGGACCGAGCGTCTGTTTTTCAGACACTGCATGTTTGCCATTTGGTTTTTTTTTTTTTTTTTTTTTTTTTTTTTTATTGTAAAGCTACTATACAGAGGGTCACAGTTACATGAGTGAGGTTATGAGTACACTTCCTCTTGAACATTGTTACCCCCTCCATTGTTTTCCCCCTACCATCCCCTCCCTCCCTCCCTTCCCCGAGGTTCTTTTTTTTTTTTTTTTTTTTTGATTGTGATTAAATGATTACATAATTTCAAAGTCACAAGTTCATTCTAACTTCCCTGGAGCAAATTGTCTACCACAGTCTGTAATATATAACAGTGTTCACATGTTATATACCATATTTGTGATCAGCAGCATGAGGATATTTAGTAGTGGTTCAACCAGATGAGCGGGAGTTCTTTGTTTCTTAAGTCCTGTTAGTTTTGTCGTATCACTAACCTTTTGGATTTAGCATCCACTTATGAGGGAGACCATGTACCGTTTGTCTCTTCGTTCTTGGCTTACCTCGCTCAACATGATTCCTTCTAGCTCCATCCATTTCCCTGCAAATGCCATTATTTTGTCATTTCTAATGGCTGCATAATATTCCATTGTGTATAGATACCACAATTTTTGGATCCATTCATCTGTGGTGGGGCACCTAGGTTGTTTCCATATCCTAGCTATTGCGAACAGTGCTGCAATAAACATGGAGGTGCACGTGTCCTTGTATATTGGTTCCTGTTGTTCAGGGTAGATGCCTAGAAGTGGTATGACTGGGTCGTAAGGGAGGTCAATCTTTAGCTTTCTAAGGACCCTCCAGACTGCTTTCCAAATGGTTGTATAAGTGTACATTCCCACCAGCAGTGTAATAGGGTTCCTCTTTCTCCACATCCCCTCCAGCATTTGTCGTTGGCTGATTTGTGGATGTGGGACATTCTGACTGGGGTAAGGTGGTATCTCAGGGTTGTCTTTATTTGCATTTCCTTCACCACCAGGGATGATGAACATTTCCTCATGTGTTTCTTTGCCATTTTTATTTCTTCATTTGAGAAGTCCCTCTTTAGTTCCCTTGCCCATTTAGTAATTGGTTTGTTAGGTTTGGGAGGGATTAGTTTCTTGAGTTCCCTGTATATACAGGATGTTAACCCCTTGTCTGATATATTGCTGGTAAATATTTTTTCCCAATTAGTTGGTTGTCTTTCTAGCTTAGTTGCGATAGATTTAGCTGTGCAGAAGCTTTTTATTTTAAGGTAGTCCCATTTGTCGAGTCTCTCTCCAACTTGTTGTGACCCTGGGACTCTGTTCAGGAAGTTCCTTCCTGTGCCTATTAGTTCAAGTGTCTCTCCTACTCTGTCCTGCAGTAGTTTCAGAGATTCAGGTTTAATGTTAAGGTCTTTAATCCATTTTGAGTTGATGTTGGTGCATGGTGATAGGCTGGGGTCCACTTTTAGTTTTCTGCATGTGGCTGCCCAGTTTTCCCAGCACCAGCGGTTGAAGAGGCTGTGTTTCTTCCATTGTATGTCTTTGGCTCCTTTGTCGAATATCAGCTGGCTGTAGGCCTGTGGATTTATATCTGGATCTTCTATTCTGTTCCATTGGTCTTCGGGTCTGTTTTTGTGCCAGTACCATGCTGTCTTTGTGATTATAGCTCTGTAGTAGAGTTTGAAGTTCGGCATGGATAGCCCTCCCATATTGTCTTTATCCCCTAGAATTGTTTTGGCTATTCTAGGTCTTTTGTTGTTCCATATAAATTTTTGGACTGTTTTCTGTATTTCAGTGATGTACGTCATTGGGATTTTAATAGGAATTGCATTGAATTTGTATATTAATTTTGGAAGTATCACCATCTTTACTATATTAAGTCGGCCTATCCAGGAGCATGGGAGGTCTTTCCATTTCCTAGTGTCTTCTGCAATTTCTTTCTTTAACTTTTTATAGTTCTCATTAAATAGTTCTTTTACATCTTTGGTTAGGTTAATTCCTAAATATTTTATTTTTTGGGAGGTTAT